CTTTATCAAAAAACCAAGAAAAATAAGCCAAACAATAAAAATTCACGTTTCATATCAGATCTGTCCAGATCTGCTGCACTCAAATTTGAAAGCTTGTTCTCCTATCTCTTGTAAGAGCTTTCAAATTTTGAAAAGGCTTGACAGGCAGAAAATGAACAGATGCACAGTAGAGGTGGGAGATGATCTTGTGGGAGGTCTCCCTTGCCTTCTGCAAAGATAAGGGTGTGGAGGCGTGCCTGCATGGTGGAGTGCTGTGTGGGGAGAGGGAGCCCCCAGCATGCACCTCTTTRCAGCACTGGAGATTGCATAAGGCTTGGAACGACGTCCTCTCCCTCCTTTTGGAACCTTGGAACAGTGAAGTTACCAACACAGAGACATTGCACTAGGAACAGACTGCCCTCCAGGCTCCACAGTCATTCTTTCTGTGCCAGTTCCCCTGCTGAGCAGTCACCCTTCCAGAGGCAGCAAGCTGTTCCTCTTGTTCCCATGGAGGCATTCATGCTTTCTGGACAAGGTGTTCTCTGGTATCCCTGCTCCCTGGAGGTTGTGAATACCTCTGGCTGCAGGAAGTACACTGAGTACTGTTATACACTGGTGCATTTCTGTTTTAGACTTTGTATGACAAACTTCACCGCTGCAGCCAAGAGTATTCTAGAGCTGGACATGCAGACAAGGTGAAAAAGCAGATTTTTTAGTGTTATTAAATACTACAAGATCAAGAAGAGCCACTCAGGAAGGTAGGGAAGAACTGTTGGTGCACATCAACTTCCCTGTATAAGAATCAAAGAAGTGAGTGGTGATTTTTTTTTTTTTTAATAATATCTATTTTTTAATGCTGAATGGCCTTGATAACTTGTCTCCAAACTTTGGCAGGCCAACTAGTTCTTCACATTTCTGAAGGACAGTAAAACTGAAAGTTTAGTCAGAGATGTTCTTGAGTATCACATTCACATGGATGTATTATGGAGACAGTACCCTGTAAATATGATCTCTTCCTGTCATTACATACCTACCTTTTGTTCAGTAGTCATTGAATTCACATTACTTTGACTCACATGAACAAGAAAGCTCTTCATGTATATTCTTTTAATATTCYAATGGATTTTTTACTCTTATTTTTGAAGGACATGTATGAACACTCCTGGTCAAAAGTAGTTGTTTCTAAACACTTTTGTTCATTTTAACTAGATATCAAAGGCAGAGCCATGGTGACTTCCCAGYAGTTAYAGTGTTGTGTATTAATTGATTTATMCATTCTAAACTAAACCATTCTCCTTAAATATAATAAGCTTTATGGTTAATAAACCCATGTTAGAAAATGCATTAAATACTTATTTTTGGCCACATCTTTTTTTCTCTCTGCTACATTATTTGAGTTATAAAACTCTTCTAGCATTCACATAGTGAAAAATACATTGCAGCTATTATTTGTGTTATTTTGTTAGACACCTGTACAAATTAAAATTGGAAATATCAACACTGCTATTGTCTGTGTGAAGATAACCTCTTATTTTCTAGCTTTACAAAAATCTGTCAAGAACAAATTCCAAAACTTTGGGAGGGTAGTTCTGGAAATCCAGTTGAGCACTGGAAAAAATTACGTAGATGGTGATATCAAGTGTATTTTAGGAAAATGAGAGCTGCAGTAATTTATTCTGCTCTAGGCAGTGTCATGAATCCACCATGGCACASAGTGAAAGAAAACATGTCAAGAATGCTGGAATACCTTTCCTTACCACGAGACACCCACACAAACTAATAATAGGACTATATTCAATAAAGTAGAAAATAAACCTATTAGGAACCAAGTTACGGACAGAATTTGCCAACTTTATTCTTTGTACCACACATCTAAAACCTCTTAGGTTCTTAACTCCCTTCTTTTCCCACTAGAAGACCACTCTATCAGAGGAGGCAAAATTTTAATTCAGTGAACACAAAGACACAGAATAGTGGGATCTTTTGAAGGTTGTCCAACCTCCTTGTACAGAAGATCGTGGCAGAACACAAAGCACTGTCCTCCTCACGTCCTTCAAGAGAAACAATGAAATTACTGATGGGGAAGTCAAGGAAACAATGTATTTTGATGGTGTCCTCAGTGCAGAGCAAGGTCTGATCACCAAGATAAATTATCATTCCAGCATAGAAATATTTGTGAGCTGAGTGTCACAGAACAAGACTGTTGGTATCTCTCCCTTCACATTGTTCTTTCCATACTGTTGTTGAARTTTACATTTTATAATCAAAATTAAAGCAAACAAACACTTACAAACTTGAAGTCATTTTTTAAAATAAAATTCTGTCTGAAACTTACCTCAGTTCATCGATACACTTCTATCAACAGCTGTGGAAACTTAAAGTGACAGCTTGATTCCTAAACCTTTTCTGTAACAGCAGTGGGAGTATGGAAGTTGGAAAACTTAGCTCTCAAGATCTATGCAAAGCCAACACAGCACCACACACATATATAGTGTAAAAGCTGAAGAAGTACAGGTTAACAGAAACCCACTGAAGCTAAAGGAAGGCAAATGGTGTGAGGAATAGAGTAATTGAAGTAATCACAGAAGCAAGAGAAGCTCTGGCCCAGACACTTGTTTTCYCTAACTGGCCCTCCTTGCTTTCTCTTTTTATCCATTTCTTAATGGATGTTCCTAATCAGGTTCAAGTGAGGTGTGCCTTCTCCACCTTTGCAAGCTTGACCTGCTTCACAGGGWTTAGCAGCTCCATGACATGTCTCCCCTGGTTTAGGAACACCCTGTTCTGTTTCAGGAATGAAACCAACTCTGCCTTGTTCCTGACCAGCGTTTGCCTGAAATGCAAACCTCCTCAGTGTTGAATGTGGCTAGAAACTACTGATAAACTAATTATGAAATAAGTTTTTCTTTCCTTGTTCTTTGGAATTCACAGGAACACTCCAATTTATTTGGAGCCATCATTTTATATGTTGTTCCTTCTCACTCCCTCCATTTGCATGTTCTTTAATGACACGACTATAATTATTCACCACCCTGTACTACCACCAAATAAAACGTTCCTCAGCCTTCCCTTTTGCATATCAGCTCTTTGACACATAAATTCTCTTAAYTTGGCTCTACCAGATGTCAAACCTCTCTCTGTTTTGGCCAATCACTTTTTTTTTTTTCTTTCCCTAGAGAATCTATAGAAAGATTAGCATGTTTTCTTCAAGTTTCCCAATCTCCTMTTAGCAGCAGAAAACAAAAAGTCCTTTCTGCATTATCTTCTCATGAAGGAACTTCAGCCACATTTGTGTATTCCGCAGTAAATTCTACTGCTGTGTTTTTTTCTCTTCACTACATATCCCAGATTGAAACATTGCTAAAATACCACATCCAATTTTCAAACCATTCAGGAAGGGCAATGATTAATTAGAGAAAGTGGGTTTCTCTTTTTCTGTTTTTTTTTTTTTTTTTTAATTTTTTGACAAACCACTAAAGGATTAGAAAAAATTGCAATGTAGAGAGTCTAAGTTTGTGTATCACATGGAAAATATTACAAGATTCATGTGTTCTGTGAGGTTCTTACTTATTAATCCTCAGCTGACATTGACTGCAGTGGCAAGATGGCTCAGAAAGTCGGGTCTCTGGGGTGCTGGGAAGCTGTCAGCAAAAGTCTTTGGCAAGGGCAGGTACTATTGGAATACCTGGTGAGGAGAGTATCAGTCATGGGGAGATGTCTCATTATTCCTGAGAAGTAATAAAAGAGGAAAATTGCTGTCATTGCTCCATTTCTGCATAGTGAGAGTGGTGCTAGGGGCATCTTCTGCTTCTGCCACTGAATATTAACTCTGAGTCTGCTTCAGTGCCAGTAAAAGTCAGACCAATACTTGGGCTTTAAGGAATGGATGGATCAAGGCCAGAATCCTATGGGGAAATATGGGAGTGATATAAAGGAGCCTCATAAAATAAACTGGTAAAGTGCAACAGAATTCACAGGTGGTAAATGCTGAGGAGAAGAAAAAAGTGTGAATGTTTTACCAACAAGGCTTATCAACTTTGTTTAGCGATAACTGTTAGAAAATTGTTCAGCAYGAGTTGCTTCCAAGCTGAAATAAGCTTCAGCCAAAGAAAGATTTTCATATCGGAGAAGGCAGCCCAGACCTGTACAGCAATCTTCTCTTATTTTTTTTTTTCCTGGTCAATTTACCAGGCTAACTAATGAAGTYGATTATCTTACTGTCCATTAATGAGAGTGCAATCATTGCACYCAAGTGCAGGGCTGCTGTTCAGAGGGACCTGGACAAGACAAAGAGATAGCACTGACAGGAATCTCATTGAAGTCAAAGGAAAACACAGAATTAKGAGTCTGGGATGGGGTAAACAATGCATTGGGATGGATGGGCTGCCTGCCTCGGGCAGAGAAGTGGTACCCAGTGACAGGATGAGGAGCAATGGCCATAAACTAAAAGACAAGTTTCACCTCAAATGAGGAAGAAAAGAACTTCTTTACATTGAGGTTGATGAAGCACAGAAGCAGGCTGCTASGGAAGCCATGGAGTATTCCTGTCTGGAGAGATTCCAAACCCACCTGGACGTGTTCTTGTGTCACCTGCTCTGTGTGACCCTGCCTTGGCAGGGGATTGAGGTCTGCTCCAAACCGAACTGTACTGGGATTCTGTGATTCCGTGATTCCGTGACAGTCCCTTGAAACGGGAAACACATGTTTTAACATGATTCCGCAGAACTGGTGCCTCACAGCATCCCAGTGAAGCCATTWCCCATTTTTAACCAGCTCCCACAGCACATCCCCGCAAGCGCGTCTCCCARCTATATGCGCCCAATAAAACAAAGGCCAGAAAACCTGACCAAGCGCACTGGAGAGTGGCCGGAGGAGGCACCCTAAGGCTCTTTTGGAGCGGGATTTTAGGTTTGGGACCCCTCGGGGCCTGCGGCCGGGCGCCTCCCGCCGTGAGGGGCGGCTGTGGGCGGGGCCAAGCGGGAGGAGCCGCCCCTGCCCCGCGCAGGCTCCGCCCCCGCGGCGGCCGCTCGCGCCCCGACTTCCTGAGGGCGGGCGGGCTGAACATGGCGCCGGGCGGCTGGCGCCAGGGGCGGCAGCTCCTCCGCTCTCTGCTCCTCGGAGCGCTCCTGGGTCCCGCCGCCTGCTTTTCTTCCTCCCTCTACAGCCTCGGCGAGCCGCGGAGCAGCGTGCGAGTGCTGTGCGGCTCCAACTGGAGCCTGGTGTTGCAGGGCCAGTGGATGTTGGAGTTGTGAGTAGCGGCCGCTTTCCCGCCCGCCTCGGAGGCAGCGTGGCCTGGGGGGCGAGGGGGGTTCCCTGTGAGGGGTACCCTGAGAGGGGCGGGCATGGCCCGTGACTCCAGCCCCGCTGTGGGGAGAASGGGGCCGGGCCGGCCTTCCCGCCCTGCAGAGGGGCCGTGCAGGGTGTCCCCGGTGGTGGCTGCCCGGGGACAGCGTGAGGGAGGCGGCGGGCGGTGCCCGCGGTCCCCTCTGCCCGCCCTCAGGCGGCGGGCACACGCTGCCCTCGGTTGGGATGTCCGGACAGAAGGAGCTGCCCGCAGGTTCCCGTCCTGTGTGGGGCACACAGGGCCCAAGGTTACACGGGTCACTCCAGATAGCCAGATGGAGGGAAATAAAGGACGTGGAATGAAAGACAGGGACATGATGGAGAAAGCCTAGAACAGGCAACCAAGTTGATCATAAAGATGGAGCACCACTCTTATCAGGAAAGGCTGAGAGAATGGGGGTTGTTCAGCCTGAAAAAGAGAAGGCTTTGGGTGACCTAATAGCGTCCTTTCCTTCCCTAAAGGGAATTTACAGGGAAGATGGGGCAAGACTATTTACAAGAGCATGTCATGACAGAACAAAGGGGAGTGCCTTCAAATTGACAGTTGGGTTAAACTGGATATTGGGGAAAAATGATTTACTGTGGGGATGGTTAGGCCTGGCACACRTTTCCCAGGGAAGCTGTGGCTTGCCCTATCCCTGGAAGTGTTCAAGGCCGGGTTGGATGGGGCTTGGAGCAATCTGGTCTAGTGGAATGGCATGGCATGGGATGGAACTGGATGGTCTTCAAGGTGCCCTTCTAACCCAAACCATTCTATGATTCTGTGCAGCAATTGTCTCTCAGGTTCGCATCCAAATGTCCAAGGTTAAATGGGTCAGTGCAGACAGCACCCCACTGGGGAACAGTGTCCAGCATTTCTCCTTGTCCTGCTGTCCCATTGGAGGCTGGTGCTGGGTTCTGTATGAGCTCCAAGTAGGTTGAATTTTGTAGGGAATATTTAGCAGGAGTAGGCTTCCAAATGAGAATTACATAATATCGCAGCCTGCCCGCACTCCAAGCCGACTTGAGCTCAGCGTTCTCGTTCAAGGGAGATGCATCAGATTTCATTAACTGCTGATTGACTGTAGTGGTGTGGTGTAGTCACTTTGCTTGTGACGTGACACAGTTTTTGAAATGCATGTGACTTTTTTTTTTTGTTGGAGCCTTGCTCACCTGCTTGTATTTAGAAAGGGGAAAAAGAGCTTGAGGGGTATTTTTAAGACAGCAGTGAATAAAAAGGAGCTCAAGTAGGCAGTGTAGTCATGTGGTACCTGTGGGCTGTGCAGCTATGAAATAGGATTTTATTGTGACGTGTGCTACTCTGTGCAAGTGCTTGAGTTTGAAACAGTTTGAATATCTGAACTCGTGCTCCTTCCTAAATACTTAGCTAGCTACTGAAAGTTTTGGTTTGCCCTTGAATTTGTCTCCTRTCTCTTCTTAGCAGGATGGACTATCACTGATCTTAGGGCTTTAGTGTTCAGCATCCTACTGGACCTTGGTGTTAACCAATGAATAGGTGGGAACAATCTTGAAATAGCTGATGGTGATCCAGGGTGCCAGTTGTTTTGGTTAAGGATTTGGAATGGTTTTGGGTTTGTCTTAATTTATCATGATCTAAAAGGTGGGGGAAAAGATAAATTGGTTTTCTCCCACTCTGTGGTTATATTGTAAATTGAARTTTTCTCACTTGGGACATCTTAGTCCAGTGTGGAAACAATTGTATGGAAGTTACTGATACATACAAAGGTTGATGAGTTTTAAGGAGGAAGATCATTTATGGTGACTCAAGGTTTTTATTTCTAAGAGAAAATATTTAAATAATTAGTGGTGCATGACTCTGAGGAAGAAAAAAGCTAGGATTTGACTGAAATCAGAAGTGGCTGGGATAGCAAACAGTTCAAATCCTTTGCTAGACAAATTTCTGTCTGGTTTGGAGTGAGAGGGAGCTGGCAATGGCGATGGTGGAAACGTTTGCTTTAGTGTTAGCTGAGCATGGTAGTGTTGCTGCATTTCTTAAATTAGTCTCTAATTAATTTTATGCAGTGTTTGAAGTGGGAAAGATTCTTGGGTCTCCATGCTATTCCCTGTGGTGCCTTACTGGTGTTTTCTGCTTTTCTCCTGAGGCAGAACCTTTGTCTTTAATGAGGATGGAAACTCAATGCTGCTGGTGTGGAACTAGCGAGAGTTTGAGCTTTAGGATTGATTYATGTTTTCCGGGTGCAATCTGGTCCAGGTTTTTTCTTCCATCCGCTTTCCAGTCGGGGTTTTCCCCCATCTCTGCTTCTGGCCCTCATCCCCAAATATATGTAAGAGCAGTAAAGGGGAAAATTCAGTTTTATTTTGGGAGTGAAGCTGGGGCAGGGGTTGGGAGCATCTTACAGCCAGTGAGCTTTTGCATTGGCAGCAGCTGCATCCCTCTTGCCTAAATATCCCTGATTGGGCTTGTGGCCGAAACTCTGTGTGAGAATTTTCAGCCCAAGTGGCTTCAATGAGGAGAACAGCAAATGCAGACAAATCTGGTTCTTGCAGCAATTTCCATGCTGATGGATTTTGGCTTCTACTGATTTTTATCTGGTGTAGAGCTGGTGATCTAGACAGGAGTTCTGCATGTCAGTCCATGGATTCCTTCCATGCTGATTGGCAGGACTGCAGTAACRTTCATTAAAACCTGATTTGTTTGAAGAACCTCCTAATTGTTTATAAGACCTTTGTTTTCCATTAATAAAAGCAGTACTTTTATAAATGCAAATGTTACTATAGCRTCTTCATGAGAAAAATATTTATTTTCATCACATGCTCTTTTGAAGCCTCCTTCCCTGGTAGGAACATGTACAGCTGCTATTTAATGTCWATTTTTCTATTTGTGAAAGTGGAAAATCACTGTGTAATTGCAATTTTTTGTTGTTCCCAGGTACACGAATAGAGAAGCTTAAATTTGAAATTACTTAATGTGTGGTATCTGTAGCAGAAATAGGTTTCTTCTTCCTTCATACCTTCTAGCTGATGTATGTGCACTTGGTTGGCTTTTTCTGAATATTTGGTTATTCACAGGTGGAAAAATTGCAGGCCTTGGAAGCATGGCTGCATTTTATTGATAAAAATGTTTTGAAGAATGTTCTGTCAGACATTGCAACATTTTTTGGTTCTTGTTACTATCGCAGCATACAGGTCYGGACTGGAGTGCTGTCAGTGTGCTGCTGGAATGAGCTGTGTTAAGAAGTTTTTCCTACTTCCGCATCTCTAGTCTGTAGCTGTGAGATAATGATTCATTAATGTGAGGAGTTTTCGTTTTGTCTTTAATATTGTGTCTTTTCAGAACACAGAAAACTAATTTCTGCTTACTTAAAAGTGCATTTTGCATTTGTAAACAAAACTTGTTCCAGGTTTGATTTATCTTAATTTAACATCCTCTTCTTTTTGAAGTAAATTAAAACAAGCAAACAAGAAAATTCAACCCATCAATGAACTTGTCTTCATGCCTCTGGTTACAAAAGAAACTRTTTATGTTCTTGGTGCATCTGCAGTACTTTATGTTACTTTATGTGCTTGTTCCCGCATAGGTTGTTAAATGTTTTGGTTCCCATTTGTTTCAGCACAGACCTACTGCTGTGTGTACCTGAAAAAGAATGTCTTCATAGTCCATTTTAATTCTAGCCAGGTGAAAATCAGGAGACCAGTCATATTTCCAAGGCTAGCTTATTATACAYATGGAATAGGCTCATACTTTTTATTTTTCATTGTCATTATCATTAAACATTGACCTGCTATCTCATGCTATCTCGTTGGCCAGATGGTTACAAGGGTTCAGCCCTCCCTCCAGTTCCTTTGTCTGTAGCTTCAAAGGGAGTGWTTTTAAAATTAAGCTGAATGTTGTGGTATTTAGATGGTTTCATATTTTTAATCAGTTGGCCTGAAATACTGTGTKTAAGTAAAATCCCAAAGGGTTTGCTAAACTATTTAAAAATTACTGTAAATTAGGTAAAGAGTTCAATAAGATTGAGCATTTTTTTTTGTCACTTAAGAGTGTCTAGACTCTTACTTCTTGTTAGTATCCAGGCTTTTCTTTGTCCTATTCATAAAAAAACCACAACAACCCAAAACCCAATAAAAACCAAAAAAGTGGGGGAATGGAAATCAAGTTGCCAAAACTCTGGTTTGGTTTTGCAGCCTCTGCAGCTCTGCTGGCTGAGTCCAGAGGAAGTGATGGAACTTCTTTTTGATAACTGAACACACAGCTGAGTGCTGTGCATTGGCTGAACAAAACCTGCAAAAATGTGATGCCGAAATACACTTTGTAGCAGAAACAAAACAAAAAAGTTGCTGAAGGGGACATAAAAACATGGAGAATAATGGAACTTAATCTGCTGAATAATTCACATAATTTTTCATGGATTGGTTTGCTTTCTATTTTAAAAATAATTTCTCCTTCTTTAAAAAAGATGCTTGTCTGATTTGGAGTGGTTTGGCACTCTTCAGGAAGCTTCTTTTCAGCTTCCAGGGCAGGTGTTGTGATACAGATCTGGGTAAATGACAGGGACCAACTTCTGTATCTTTGGCTGCCACCTGTGCACCTGAAAAGTCGTTAAAAGCACACAGTTGAGCCGGAGCTTTTCTTTTGTTGGCATTACAAARCTGCCTATCCTGCCTCAAGACCTATCTGTATTTAGAAACTGTCTTTTTTCATTTTTCATGCTTGTGAAATCTGTAGCAATAAGGCAAAACTACTTAAAAGAATAGAAATAAGAATTTCATTCTGATACTTTTACCATTTTKTTGGATACTGTCTCAACATTTTCACTCTGATTTTAATGGTATTCCCAATAYGAACTCTGCAAGCAGCTTGTTTTAAGCAAGTTTTGCTGTTTTCTCTTCAACAAATCCTTTCATGCCTATATCCTTAAGCTGTTTTCCCATTTTCCTAGATTCTAGCAACTTGGTGAAATTGCTATTAGAGCAAAGTGTGGAATGGTACTCAAGGTTACATCTGTTCACAGATATTGTTGATAATGGTAGTGAAAGGCAGATAAAAAGGGTCAGTTAAATGTASTTGAAAAGGAGTGAATAGGTGAATTCAGTAGCCAGGCAGGTTCAAGCAGGGAGATAAATGGCTTGGAGCTGGAAACTCTGTATCAGTGCATCCTGGCAAAGTCATTCTGTTTACTGATCTCCCCGGGGTGATATGGCAGAATGGCACCTTTGCTCAAACTGGTTTTAACTTGAGTGGGTTTGTTGTTTTTTTTTTTTTTTTTTTTTGCCTCAGTGAAGCTGCTGGTATTGGAGAGCCAAAGCTTGCTCTGTTATGCTTTAGATCAGAGATAAACAGAAGTCAAAAGCAAGGTCTGTGTCTAAGAGCTTCAAACTTTGCTTTTTGATTGCTTTTGTTAGACCCTTTGCAAAAAACTTTCGGTATTGTAATGGAGTAGGAATAGGAGAGAACACCTGGATACTTGGACATAGTGATTTCAGTCTMCTGAGGTCAATTATCGTTGCAGTGATATATGTTGGCTGCCTTATTTATGGAGGGCTGACCCTGTGTGAGAGCATGTCAGCTGTAAAACTTTGTGCTATGTAAGAGGTCTTGAAACCTCACAAGTGAGGTGTGTATTGAGGAATGTGCAATACCTGCTTGAATAGTTTGGCAATGTGTCGTTTTTAGCTATGTGGTGTTTTCAGTCTGATTGTTGAGTGATGAAAACCAGCAAATTGCCTTTTAATATGTAACAGGCTACTAAAAACTTTCTTTCCTTAACCAGGTGCCCAAGTCTTGATTTAAATTCTAGTGATTTGATTTTTAACTTGGAAAGACCTATATGCTTGGCACATTTGTTTGCACTGCACCCTGTGCCCCACAAGTTAATAGAGCTACCTCCTTGTGCACAGGGAGAAGAAATAGGAGTAACAGCCCTAAATTTGGTGGTGTTGACAAAATGCTAATTATTTCCTGGCCTGTCTGGAGTATGGCAGAAGAAATTTCTTAACTCTGCTTTTGCCAGTGACCTGTTCTTGCATCCTGGGAACTTGAAAAGTGACAAAGACTGGTTCCACAGCAGACAAGAGGGTCTGCTTTCCTCCTCCTCCAGATTATATTTTTTCGGGGAGTATAAGAATGGTAGATGTACCACAACTTCTATGGAAATCAGTCACAGTTCTAAAGGATTCGTTAGAAGACCACGTTGAAATAAAGTACTTCCTTAAGCCTTAGTTCTTCAGCGTACAGAAAGTTTTTTGAAACTTTTGATAAAAATGACTTAAGTGTCAAGTATTTTACTCTTCAGTAACTGACCTTCCCCTACACTTTCAGTATTTTAAGACTGAGAAAGAGACAAATAAAGCTTTGGTAATGTATTTGTTTTTGTTATTTCCAGGAGGCAGTCATGAATTCCTTAGTGCTTCAAATGCTGCMCAACAAATGCAGACATGAAAGCTTCAGGAAAGTGAGGGTGTTGAGGTAAACAGCAGYGATAACTCTTGCAGAAATCTGATGACTATTGCAAGTTTTCTCTTGAACATKTGGGCACAGGGTGGTTCCTGGCTGGCAAGAATTGGATGTGTAATTTCAGGAATGTAAAGCAAATATTTTAATCCTGATTGTCTGTGCCAATGTTCAGCTTGAGTGGCTGGATCTTCTGGCATTGTATGGAAACTATTGCTATCCCATGTCCAGTAATGATACTAAAAATTAGAAAGCCACCAAGTATAGCTTTTTGTGAAGTTCACTGTTGTGTCCTGTCACTGCCAAACTGTGACATGGGGAGATTTTAATGCTGCTTTGAACTCAAGGAAATACTTTTAATCATATGAATGTTAGTCATGTGTATTGAATATTCCACTTAATTTCTTTCAGGAGAAAGGCTCATGCATGTCAAATGTAAATATTAATTTTAAAAAGATTGAAATTTCTATTTCAAGATCAGATTAAACAGGTTTAAGAATCAATTTTGAAAATCTCATTGTGTGAATTTGACATTGTGTGAATTTAGAGAAGCTGGATTTAGAAAACAGTCAAACTTCTGTCTTTGATTTAGATCAACGTCAGCATCATTATCTGAAGTTTGCAGCTTCTTATTTATCAGTTAAGCCACTATAATAAAATAACCCTGTTTGTAAAGTAGTGTCTGTCAGACTGTTATTAAAAGCTCTCTGTGGGCCAGCARCACAATGGACAGCAGTGCTGCGTGTGAGACTTATTTCCAGCATCTTTTTCAAAGATACTGAGAGTCTGTCTTTTGGCAGGATAAGATTTATGTCCTTTTTTTCAGATGCTTTCACGCAGAATGGTGTTGATGTAAAAAGACAAGATATATGGGCTTTCRTAGTTAGAATTATGAATTTCTAGTACAGTTTAATACAACAGGTATTTTTAAATTGTGTCCTTTTAACTGCCAAGTGACAAGGTATTACCAGTAGCTGCAAAATGGGTTTAATTGTTCCAATTGAGAGTGTAGAAAATCCAGMTCTTGAAACATGTGCTCCTGTTTTTCTGAAATGAATCCTGTGAAAAAAAAACCAAAACAAAACAAGACAATAAGTATGAGCAGTAGGAATCTGATATGTGCTCTTTTAAAGTCTCTAATAACTGCTATCACAAAGGTTGTGTTGTGATGTATGGAGTAGTGGGCCAAGGCAAATGTAATTTTGGGAAGTTCTGAAGTGTGGGAAATCAATACAAAATGTTGTGATGAAGGATACTGCTTCAGAGGACAGCCTGGCTTCAATAATTCAGGTGGCTGCCGTGGAAATGGATCTTATTTCCTATGTAAATAGAATAAATCACGAGTGGTGAGGAGTTTGGATATGAATTTGGCAAATCTGTGGAGATTTGTTTTGTTTTAATAACATGGGGAGGAATTGATAAAAAAACTGCTTGATTGTCTCATTGAAGAGATTAAGAAAAACTGTAGTTTTTTTTCCTTTGTGATTGATGTGTGTGTGTTTTCTCTACACAATAAATCAATTTGGATGACTTTAAGTGTAAGAGTATTAAAATATTTWCCCTGTCTTCCCCCTTTAGTTATGCTCCTTGGTGTCCAGCTTGTCAGCAGATTGAGGCAACCTGGGAAAGCTTTGCAAAGGAGAGCGAACGGCTTGGGATCACTGTTGGAAAAGTGGATGTCACTCAAGAACCAGGTATAGTATGAAACAGACTGTTTTAATAACAGGAATTTTTCAATATAAGTACCACTTATTACTTATTTAGGCTTTAATGTCAAAATAATGTTTGTTTCTCTTTACACTTCATGTCTTTGAACTAACGTTTATAAACTCAATTTGAAGGATTAAAGAATTGGGGGGCGTGATCTGGCTTAATACTGAATTAAAAGAGGCTTATTCTCTATTTTAATCTTCTTGACTGAAAGCTGTTGCCTGTCTCATTCCTCTCTCCTCCAGCCTGTCTGCAGAAGATTCCAGCTCTGTAGCCTGTCAGGAGAATTTCAGGGTGTGGTAGAGTGAGCCTGTTTTAATTAAGGTTGTTAACTGTTTCCACCATGGTGGTGCTTTATTGACTGGTTTAGTTGTGGTAGTGCTTTATATTACAGATGTTATTGTTGTTTCCTGTTGGTGATGCATGTATGCAAATGTGTTTATAAAACCAGTTTCCTAATTATTCAMAGAAGCAATGAGTGCAGTCTTTGGTGACTCCCTTCAAAGTTTTGAATGTATCTTTGTACAAGCAGCATTAATATTGTATAAATCTTTGTGTTTCCTGGGAATGCTCTGTGCTCATTTTGGCTTTGAGGGAATAAAGGATCTTATCAGCAGTATCAAAAGACAAAAATRAGATGTTAGGAAAAAAAATAGCTAAACTTTACTGATTTTTCTTTTTTTTCCTTTATAAAGCATGTGAAAAATTTGTTCATTTTATTAGTTGAAAACATGCTGAACAGATTTACTTTATCAAAACTCTTGTCTCAGAATCAGCAATCTCCATTGACAAGAAATGCCAACTGTTCTAGACCTTGTGTAGCTTTATGTTTTATTAAAAGTTCACAAGTATACAAAAACTCTGCATATCAAAAAGCTGTATATACTAATCATTGCATAGTGTAATAAACAGATGAGTTTGAATATTACATTTTTTAGGTAGATGTAAATTTAGCACTTGAATTTCTAATGTTGCTGAGAGTCCTGACCCCTAAGCATGGAAATTTCTTCGAGTCAAGGGACTGGCCAAAATGATGAATATGTACTGAAGCACCTGTAATAAATCCACAATATCCAGTTCAGCACCGGAAGCTGCAGGCACTTCTAAAACTCAGGAATGCTCAAACTAGAAAACAAACATTTATTACGTATTTGACCTTTGATGCTGATGTAATTTGGAAGATACATGAGTTTCTATGGAGCTTTYCTAAGTTACTGAGGTATTTTTACTGTGGGTTTTGCATCAGCTTTTCAGTTGTTGTGTTTAAGTGCTCTGTCTCCTTTCTTGCTTGCACAATGGTACTTTAATTAGTCGTAGTTATGTAACCCCTTCATTGAATTGAAAGTAGTCAAAATGTGTTAAATTAGGGGAAAACTAGGAGATGAGTGCAGAGTTACATAAAAGTGCACTTCTCAAAGCAGCAGGAGAAAGTGGSCATTCATGGTGCCTAATTGCAGGAGATGCCTGAAGAATAAATGCATCAGAGCTTTAATGGCTTTAGAGCAGATTTCAGTCACTTGATGTCCCACCCTTAAAGTACTTCCTCTTGCCTCATCTCCATTGAAACATTCAGTGTGGAACTAGCAAATAGTGAAGATGATTCTGCATCCTTAAGTTCTGCATGTTTGTGGTGCCTTTTTTGAGGTTCCAATCACAACATTTGCCTGTGAATTTAAAACAAGACTTCTGTGTCTTCTTTGAGTAGCTGTTGGATGACATCAGCTGGAGTTTTAGATTACATCTGTGTTCTCTGTACATTTTCAGGGGTGTGTATGTACAAATAAGCTTTTTTTTTTTCTTGATTAGCTGTTGATATCATAATGGAAGTGTATCATTTTTTGGCTTGGAAACAGAGAGAGATGCTTAACTGTAGCTAATTCAAGTTTGTGTTAAATAGACTCCAAAACAATTTAATGTGTTCTTAAATTTTACCAGTCTGAGAAGGTACCTTAGATAACCAACAAACCTCCACCTAAAGTGTTGGGCATGCTTAGATGCATTTTATAACTTTCAGATTTCAGTGTTGCTTCTGAGATGTTCACCCTAAAATAGGCCACAGGTAAGAGCCTGACTGGCATTTATAGGAACTTCAGAGTCTTTCAGTGTTTCCATGACTTTCTCTGTTCTTAAGCTAATTATGTTCTTTGTGACTCCCCACCTAATTTTCCTTGTGCAGCTGTACTGTCTGCTTTATTAATTCTGCTGTTACACTTGTGGGTTTGTTTGCTGGCACTGCTTTTTGCTGTTTCAGAGAGTTTTTCATCACCCTGCCTCTCTTAGCAATAAAGGCAGAGAGCTGAAAAGTTGAAGTAAAGAAGCCTTCTTTTCTGGAACTTTGAAGATGATTTGGTTTAAATGTCTTCAAACAAAATCCCAAACAACAAAAGCAGCCACAATCCTTTTTTGCCTATTCCATAGAGGAATTCAAACTAGGGAAAGTATTACCACTGAAACTTTTAAAAGATACCTGGCTTATTTCAATRTGGCTCATTTTTGTCTCTAAAGGCAGAAACTCTCTTGCTACTCTACTTCTCCATGTCTAATCCTGGTGCCTAGAGCTGTTTGCTTTATTGTTCTGAATAAGGCCTTCATTTCCCAAAAGATTTTCACAGAATTTTATAAAGGGCAACATTAAATAACTGTGCTCTTTACTCTGGTACTTTATATGAATTGCAATTGCTGGTTTTAGGAGTTCAGCCCTTTCTAATGGACTCTGARTGCATCTAATGCTGGGCTGGTCCAAAACTTCAGCTGGGTGCAAATACTGAGGAGACAAACCCATTGGAGGAAAATTACCTCTCAGTAAACATTCTTCAAGCTGAACATTTTTCCTTAATTTGTTACCAATATTTGCTATCAGTTACTGTTGGTAGCGTATCTGAAGACAAACTGTTAACCTGTATTTACAAAACAGTGGTGAAAGCTGTGCAGCCTGCTGCTCCCTAGTCTAAAATAAAGATCTGCAGGTATTTATAAATAAGTCAGAATGCTGAGAAATTTCAGTGTTATTGAACTGTTGGTGTTGTTTTCTTCCCTTTCTAGGCTTGAGTGGTCGTTTCTTTGTCACAACACTTCCTACAATTTACCAGTAAGTGTGTCATACTGGAAACTGCAGCTGTTGACTCCTACTTGTCACTTGATTTAATTTGTAACTCTGAAATGTAGGGGAAAAGGAAGGAATACTGACTTTTGATTTCAGCTCAGATTATGGAGCTTTGATTGCATGATAAAATGCTTATCTGAGGCTTTTCTTTAGTCTGACTTTACTARGTTTCCCTGTTACTGATACTTGTGAAAATGGATCAGAGAAGATGTTTGTTGTATCTCTTCTTCAATACAGTGATATTATGCTTAAAATATCAAACCCTCATTAAGACAGAATATTATGAGTYGTGCATATATTTAAACAAATACATAAATATGAGCACTTTTAATTCTGAGTTGTATTTAGAAATCGTTTAGTTGTTGACCTCATGTGCTTTGTGTGTTTGCTGTAGTGCCAGTGAATATTTAAGAAAAATAGCGGCTTTATAAATGGCAAAAGCTCATGCTGTTTAAAAACTGAGATTTTTCCATCATTGATTACAGTTCCAAAACATTCAACTCTGAGCCAGTGAAACCTATAATGTATGTGGGGGTTTTGGTTGGGTTTTTTATCTTTGAGTTTGGGGATGTCTGTGTTGATGGGTGTTTCTGTTTTGTAGTGCCAATGATGGAGTGTTCCGCAGATACCGCGGCTCGCGGACATTGGAAGATCTTCAAGGTTACATCTTAGAGAGGAAATGGGAAGCTGTGGAGCCTGTAGCAGGATGGAAGTCTCCATCTTCTATAATGTAACACTTTGTTTTTATTAACAAGAACTATATTTTGTAGCTCATTATTCATTCACTGTCAATTGTGTTGACAGTTTCAAGACAAAAGGCCTTTATTCCCTAGGCTTACAGGCTTTGCAGAAGCAATTGGTATTGACAGTCTGCTTCCCAGTTTCTCACCTTTAAAGGCAGTTTATTTTCTGCACTTGCTTTTGTTTGTGCCTGYTAAGGCTTGTTTATGTCATCTTTGAAAAGAGATTAAGAGAAAAAATATAGCCACTGAGCATTATGTAAAGTGGCACTTCCAATATCTGCTGATTCCTGGAATAAARTGTGTGTTTATGTAGGTTTTGCTTCATGACTTCTGGGCAGCCTTTAGCTTTAAGGACTTCTTGTTTCTTTACARGAGAGTATTTTGTCCCCCTTTGGAAAAGCAAACAGTATAGTACTTACAGACTATATAAGAATTTGTTTTGAGAGAGGCAGATTTGCWTTGAAATARTGTAGAAAGCTTATATGAGAAAAGRATGAGCCAAAGATGTGAGTGGTCTGCGTTTCATTATGGCTGAAGCTATTATTTGTAAGTTCACATCAAAGTTCCATAGAGGGTCCTTATTTTTCGTGTGAGAAAGAGGAAGAGCTGTAGGATATTTRGGAATGGGGAGAGGAGCTACAGGGCTGCTGTTAACCTGTCCTTTCATTTCCTTCTTTTCAAGGATGCATGGCATGGCAGGGCTGTTTCACTTCTCTGGATGGATCAGGGTAAGTAACTGTGTAGTGTTTCCCATACTCCCTTTTTAAGCTTAGAATAATCATATGCTTAAAAGTTAAACTGTAACTGAATATTTTCATTATCCTTTTATGAGAGTTTATTTTGCCTTTCATTTATTCCACATTGGTGTACGATACCTTTTCACTATAAGTTTGTAGTGCTAAGCTACTGTGCCACAAATGGCAGTTTATTGTAAAGATTGTTATCAATTATGAAAATTCTCGTTGCAAGAAAAGGTTCTTTAAGGGTATAAAGAAGCATTTTGAGAGCTGCTGCAAATGGTTGTAAACAACAGAATATATTAAATATCTACCATGTTCTCTCACTTCATACTATTCCTAAAGATCGTCTTCATGTTCATTTTCAGAATTGTAAATGATGCTCCTCTTCTGTTTGTTTTCATCATGTATTGCACAGCAGAAAAGAGGGCAAGGGGTTTTTTTTAGTAGTAATTTCTGCATCTGGGGTTCAAACTGACAATGCTGTTTGCATAGGAACATGGTGAATTTGGATAATAGAGTGATTATGAGAAGTAAAGGAGAAATGCTTAGCTCCACCTAAGTGTGATTTAAAATACTAAAGCATATTTTACTTGAAAAAATTTCAAGATGCTTTCATTTGGGAGCTATTCAAGTTTTTCTGTGGCATCCAAATACTGAGAATTTTCAGACCTGTCTGATATTCGTAAGGAAACATCCTCTTCAAGTGTCACTGAGATTGAGAGACTGTATTTGATTGCAGCAAAATACTTTACGATTGTAATGTGCTTCAGAAAAGAAAGTWGTTGAAAGTTTGAACAGTTTGTATCTCTTTTACTAAACATTAGACAAACACAGAATCACACAGAGCTMTGAGTTATGTCTGTCTTCGATTCTTTCACTGGATAATATTTACTTTTTGTAGCCTTCTGGTGTTTCACTCCCATGGTTGCTGTGTAGTGGTGCTGTTTCTCCATAGTTTCCTTCCTGAAAGATTAACTGTTCTGGGAATAAGCCTCTAATTTGCTTTCCACTTTGATGAATATTTCAGCTGTACATTTGCTCACTCTTCCTGCTCTGCTGTCCTTGCTTATGCTTTAATAAATATCAGAAGATGTTCTGACATTTAAGAAATAGGACTCTGGAATTTCCGTATTTAAACTCCTGTAAATGTTGATTGTGGTTTGTTTTGAAAGAGATTTTATGTCTTAATTGACTTCCTACCAGCTCTTCTGACTCGATGGGCTGCTTGATTCAGCTGAATTTTTACATTTGAGGAGCAGACTAAAGTTTGAGAGAAATCTTAATATTGTATTTGGATTCTAATGTTTAAATTTAGAAGTGAAATAATTTATTCAATGTATGGTTAGAGTGTGTGGCTCCTTCTAAGWGCTAAAAAGCTTAAGTAAGAGCTAAATAGCTTAATTTAGTTAATGAACAGTTGCCACATAAGGATGAAGGATGTTGTGATACTTTGTAGCAAGCTCTCAGGCTCCTCAAACATCCATCTGCAGTAAGGTTGTGTATGGCATCTGTAATGCTGAGTGTCTTAGGAAGAAGGAATTGTGCATCCTCTGCTAAAAAAAGCCTTTTAATGTGAACAAGTTGGTAAAAAACCCCAAGATTTAGTGGAGTCAAAAGGGGAAGACTTCAGTATTWATACTGTTAAATGAAAGGTCTTAATCAGTGAGCAATTTATGTAACAGTGTTGGCAGTAGACACCCTAAGTTGTTTTAGGTATGAAGTTATTAAGCATCTTCCTCTCATTTCCAGCAAATTCATAACTACCTCACTGGCACTCTTGGACTTCATGTTTGGATGTCCTATGCCGTTTTCATCTTAGCTACCTTACTGATTGGCCTGTTCCTGGGTTTGGTAAGAAAGCCTTACTTTTTTTTTTCTCAGTTAACTAGAACTCTTGCTTTGCATTAACTTGTGGAAAAAAAMCCCTGACTTTACTCATAAAATATAAATACCTTTCTTTAATAGTATGTTGTTAAATACTAGTATCTCTTCCCTCATAYCCAGAATGTGTGAGAATGTTTCAAAGCTGTGCCAGGGCGATTTAGACTGAGCATCAGGAAGCAGAGGGTGGTCAGACACGCAGGAGGCTGCSCAGAGAGGTGGTTGATGCCCCAGGCCTATCACTGGTTAACAAGCATTTGGACAAGACCCTCAATACAAATCAGATCACCTTATAAATCCACGCTTCAATATTGATTTGCTTAGTCCATCCACTGAACAAATGATTTTTCTATCGGCTGTTTTGTATCTAAGAGTTTGCTGCTTAAGGGTTGAATGTGTGTGGTCAAAGTTGGTCAAGACTCCAACTTTCTACGAGCACAGGCTTTGTGGAGAGACTTTCATTAGCCAGAGTGGGATTGTTTTTGTGGGAGTCAGCAATATAAGGGTGCTGCCACTCTGTAACTCAAAATCAAAGGATGAAAGTATTTTTTGAAATTGTTGAAGTTTTGGGGGCTTAAGTTCTTTSAGATTAGTTGCCTGTTCTTCAAATACATTCTGCATCTGCAAGGACAGTTTAAACAGTTCTGCTGGTAACTGCTTTAACCTGGCTWAGTCCTGGTAGGAAGTGTGAGGGTTATTTCTGGAACTTGGATCTCTGCCCTTCAGCCCAAATATTAGTGAAATAAAGAAAAATTTTATGAGTGTATTTCTCAGTAGTACTGGGAGGTGATTTCAATGCAATTGAACTTTGATTTTAGGCAAACTACGTTTTTACACTTGATGTGTGTACAGAATTGTTACATACAAGAAATGTCTTTGATTATCCAATTTCAACATCTGCATTTTTCTAGATGGTAGATTTTCACCAAATTAGTGCAAATCAAGRTAGTGTAACTAGGAGCAAGTGAATGTCATATTTTAAATGAAACTCTCCTTCCTACTCCTTCACTTAAAAAAAACCCCAAACTGAAAAAGCTGAAAAAATGTGAAGTTAATCTCTCAGCTCTTTCAAAAAAAACTTTTCAATGTTTGAGATATATTTCTTTCACATGATGTCAGCTCTCTTTCTCGTTGCACTATTCTTAGCAAGTGACAGTGAGGCACAAATGTCTTCTTGCATTTTGATTGTCTGTGTTCTGCACTGTGCTGGTTAAGTAACAAGCATAAAAGGTGGAACACACATGTCTGTTGGGGAATCAGGGGTAGGAATGGAATAACATTCCAAAATACAGAAAATCTTGATCAAGATTTTTTCATACATTTTCAAAAAGTAAAGATCSTCAACTGTGTTCTGAGCTTTTCTTCAGATGCAAGCAGTGTCAGTACTGAATAAATTTAGGAAAGTAGGAGGCAGAAAATGGGTAGTAGAAAGCAGGGAATGCTGGTTAGTACACACTGAGAAAGCACTTTTTTAGTGTTTTTATTTAGCTCTTATCTCTGAGCAAGATAATACAATTTTCTGAATTTTATTGTGTGTGTCTGTCTAAAAAGMATGAGTGCAGGGAGTYGTGCAATTGCTATTAAATGCTTTTYCCCCCACCTTTTCTTATTATTGTGAATAAACGCCTTTTTTCCCTTTCCACAGATCCTGGTTTTGATTTCAGACTGCCTCTGCCCTGCCAAGTCAAAATACAGAGCTGAAACACCTGGTAAGAACTCTGAAGTGGGTGAGATGCTCTAGTTTAAAGTGTTAATTTATAGGAGGGAGGGCAGTACACTGTTCAGATCTTAGATGTGAACCAATAATCCAGGAGYCAAGTAAAATTGGTTTGTCTTTGGTTTGGAACAAAATGAAAGCCTATCTGTGCCTGATAATGCAAGRAAGAGAAATGAAAGTGGAGGAGAARTCTACTGAAGATTTAATGAAATAACTGAAAAATCAGGAAAAGTTTTCAGTCACAGAATCACAGAATGGTTTGGGTTGGAAGAGACCTTAAGGATCATCTATTTCCAATCCTAGTTGGAATAATAATCCTAATCAATAATAATATTCATCAGTATATCAGAATATGAAAGCCATTGTTGTGAGATTCAGTCTAACTCCAGTGTCTGCTTTGTTTAGAAGAAGCAATTACCAAGGATAATGTGGAGAACGCGGCGTTGGAAGAGCCGGAGGAGGCTGCAGAGCTTTCCGTGGATGATGCAGAAGAGGCTGCAGATGTGAAAGATGTCTCAGAGGGAGAAGATGCAGCAAATTCAAGTGCTGATGAGTCGGAGGAGGATTTCGCACTTGGAAAAGAATCAGGGGAAGAAGAAATGGAAGACTTAAGTGAACAACCTTTAGCTGAATCAGAGACTGAAAGCACAGTGAGACAGCGGAAAAGTCAGGGGGCTGAGAAGGAATTATAGTTTTCCCAGTGGTGTATTTTGTACACTTGGACCAAAGATGTGTCAGACCCCTTCAGGGTCTGAAGCTGGAGCTTACACTTGATATGTCGTTGGTGTTTACGCAAAACCTCTGCTCTGCCAGCAGGCTCCTCTTTTTTTAAGCTTAGTACTTGCTTACTTTCTTTGATAAGCACATCTGCTGTATGTTGTGTGACTTTAGCCRTGACAATCAAAATCAGTGTCTTATCTGTTCCATGTCCTCTCAGAAAGAAAGAGGGTGTCAGCCTCAGTTCACCAGCTATGAAATGGTCATTGTGTCCCTCTAAGGACTGACCTGGGAAAGATCAGGACTTCTAACTCCACAATAGCTTGGCAGGACTGTGACTTWTCTGTCTGAATGTTGATTGTTCCCAAATGCCACAGAAGCACAGAGACTAGTGAAAGGAGGCACCTTACTGGTCTTCTATCAAAAATGTTTTGTACCATGGGTTTGTTTTTATCACTTTCAACAGAAGCACCTTTCTCTTCMATTTTCATTTGTGTTTTGATCCTGCAGCTCACCCCTGGATGTGTCAGTTTTTGGTGATCCGGAGGCTGTGCAGTTTGAGCTTGTCAGCTGAGTTGTGTGACCCAAGGAGTTGGAATAATTGAAAACCTCAGACAGAAAGAGAGTGGTAGTTAAAAGTTTAAAATGCATTGGAACTTTTAAAAGGTTTCAAGGAAATTATTTTGGTCAGGAGGAATTTTTGCCAAAGCATGACTACTTTTTCTTTTTTTTTTAAATTCGTTCCCATCTGGAGATTGTAGCAGGAAATATCTACTTTGTAGTCAGTAAGTTGTATATTTCTTGCCAGTACAAGCTTGTCATATGCAGTGCAGTTCTGCCATTTCCAACTTGGAATGYTTCTGGCAGAACTCAAGCTGCTTTAGTAATGTTATCTGAAGAGGCACTTAGGGTTTTCACTTTGATCACTTTTTAGCTTTTGGAGTCATCACATTGGGGAAAGAGAAGGGCACAGGTGGGTAATGGGAAGAAGCTTTTGGTTTTGCTACTTATATCAGAATAAAWGTGTGTGTGTTGAACTGTGTAAAGTGAAAATGGCTCACCAGGTAGACAGCATTAGGTGTGGGTAGACTTGGGTCATGAAACATATCAGTGTATCACTCCTTTGGGTTAGTCTTTTTTGGTAAGAATTATCTTCAGTGAGATTTTGTATGTTCTGCTTTGTTGATGTGTGACCATGAGCGTAAGATGTGTCCTATTCTTGATACTATTTTAAAATATATAAATATATATATTGCATAAATCTGCTAACATGCATGAATTTCATCTTGTTCTTCAAGAATGAAGAGTAGTCAGAGATGAGATTCTCTCTCATTCGAAGAGACAAGTTGCAAGTGCAAAATGCTGGTTTCCTTTGAGACTAGATTAATAGAGCCAATTTGCATTGAAAGCTGTTGTGTTGGTTTTTTTTAATGCTCATAAAGACCATACTTGCTAAGAAAGCTCAACTGTCCCATCTATGTCCTGTTGCATACTATGTTTGGAACTGTATGGTAGAAACATTGCATTTTTCTGTTAGAGCTTCTCAAAGGAGAAGATTATACGGCATATCCTGAATATGAAATTTTTTAGGGAATGCTCCCAGTCTGGAGCTTGGGTTCCATATAGTGGACAGCTATAAATGTGCTCTCACATAGGTGAATATAGACATGATATCTATACATTGCACTATTTTGAGAACAGTTTGTGTTGTTTGGGTGTTGTCCCATGTAACTGAACAATTGTAAAGCTGGCAGGCAGCAGAACTTGGCAGTAGTTGAGGTACACAGCAGCTTTTTAAAAGCTGAAGTTTTATCTGCAAAACTAAGATAACTCTGTGGCCACAGCAGTCTGAAGGGAAGAACTGTACATGTAAAAGATGAAAAGGTGTTCTCACAAGAATTGGGTTTCCCTTCAGTGTCTTTGGATTTCACAAGCAAACAAACCCACTTTGTCCTGCAAGCCACGTGAGTTGTGAGATGCTGTGGGAGAGATCAKAAGCCTCTTTGTGTGGTGTGTCAGAAATCTCTGCTTACATTTCCTCTGTTGTTGCATGTAACAGTTGGGTCTGGATTATTTAAACTGAAGATAGGAAGTGTTTTCCTTCATAATAGACTGAAATGTAAGAATATTTATGAGCAGGCAGCAAGTGACAGCAGTTTAGATCTGTCTTGTGAATCTGGAAATGAGCTTAGTCAGGCTTCTAASGGTTCTTGAACATAGGATATACATTGTTATTCCTGTGTTTTCGTGAATAAATAGGGAATGTTGATACTGACTGGGTCTGGCCATATTTGACACCTATTGGTGTATTTTATTACAAAGGTCACTAAACTGTGAGTAAGGCTTTGCGTGGGAAAGGTGATACTGTGCAACCACTGATCTCTCCAATTTAATTTTACATTTGTAGGAAAATTATTGTGGTACTGGACATAGTCAGTTTTGACTAATGTTTATCTGGAAAACAGCAAGCAGCAAACACTGTAAAGGCTAAATGTGTGTTTAACAGAAAAACTATTAGCTGTGCAGTAGAAGTGTCATGTTAATGTACCTTTTAGGATCAGGGATTTTTCCACTAAAACACATTTTAATTGAATCGTGTGAGTAGTGCTAATTAGACTATTACAATAGTATTAAACTTGGTGTGTTTCCAAAAAGTCAGGATCGACCTTTTGTGCAATCTGGGTGTTTTGTTATCTCTGTTCTGTTAGGATTAATCACAAAGAAATTCAACTTGTTCTTGCAACTTCAGTATAGACAAAAGGGCCTTGGAGAAGCTGCTGCTGGCACTGTTCAAAATGTTTTGATAAAGGACAGGGCCTTAAGGCTTGTGAACTAGAGCTGTGTGTCAAAATTAATTTAAGATTGTTGAGAAGCAATTTAAATATCAATTGGGCTGCATRCCACTGGAATGGGAATGCTTAACAGCAAGTTATTAAAAAAATCCGGCAGGTTCCGTGTGAAGAAGTTGGAAATCCATCCAGCATTCCAAATCTCCTGTCCTTGGGATCTGTGTGAAACTTGTATGTCTGTCTTGGAGCGCTCAGTATCTATTGGCCCTGTGGGAGTGGCACATGTTATGTGGGTTTTCTTCCTGGAAATGTTACACAGGGTTGTCTGTTACATGAAAGTGTTGCAAATTTATACTTATGCATATTTTTACTGAAATGCCACATAAATTTTGTATTTATGACCTACTCGGAGTCATTTTCATTTCCTCGGCAYGGAGTTGGCTCATYTGTKTTGTTAACAAAAGATTTTTTTYCTTTGTAATGCTGATCTTCCAATTAATCATAGAGGTTGTGACTTGTGATGATTCCTKAAACTCTTCAAGACAAACCTGAACRTCAGTGAATYGCTTCCTTTTGGARGGCTCTGCAGGAACCCAGGGCTCTCACAGGCACAAAATGCAGCTGGGGCTCAGATGCTGCTGGGCAGAACGAGATAACTGAACCCTTAAGGGTTTCATCTCTGTGTCAGGTAGTTCTTTCCCCTCCCTGAGAAATCCCCTGACTCTGCCAAAGCTGTGCTAACTCCCTCTGGGATTTGGAGGTCAGCAAGGAGAAGTATACAGACCTAAATGACCCATCCTCAGGTTGTACCCAGTTGCAGGAATAGCCTGTAGGGACCAGGGGGAGAAGTGACGGCCAGGAACCGTCCCTGGGACCTCCTTGGATGGTCTGAACAGCTCCTGGATCTGGTGCCTGGATTTGTTCTCYTCAGGTGAGTTACCTGAGCTGCCTCTCCCTGTCAACAGAGCAGCTGCAGGGCCTGGGCTATTAGCCACTCACTTTGGTTTTCTTTTATATTGTGTTCATTTCCTGATGCAAAGTGGAAGTTGGAGTGGTATCAAAGGAAGCCTTGTGAGCATTTTATTTGCTGTTTCATCAGCTGCTGCTTGTTCTCTTTTGTGATGTGTGAATACAACATTTTCTCCATGCAAGCAGCCCACGGAAAACTACAGGCAAAATCTGATCAGGTTTTGAAAATTGCTTTGTTTAAGCAATTAGACAAATCCAAGCTCTAGTTTTGTAGAGGAAATATCGAAGATMCTCTGGTGGCTAAACTAAAGTGGTAGAAAAGCTTGGTTTTTCTGTCTGGAACTGGACCAGTGGAAACTCAGCTCTGGGAATGCAGCTGCCCAGTAGTGTGTGCTGTCATTCCCTTCCCTACTGGGGAGTAAGTTGTGTTTCACTTCAGTGAGCACTGTGGTGATTGCTTATTTTTAACTAAGCATCTTCATTCCTCCCCATTAGAAAAACACTTAAAAAAACCCTCTGCTTTACCTTCACTTCATCTATCCTGAGGAGAAAGGAATGCTCCATATTTAAACATACAGGGAGCAAATGGGGATTTAGTTACCCTAACATTTTCATTTAAATTTCCATTTCATATGGAAAGATCATTTTTATGCCTCATTAGAATTTCATGGAGCTTGCTGRTACTTCAGACTTTTGCATCTGTTAATCTGGATTCCAGGGGAGACTGGGAGCTGAACCTGAGCACCCCAGATTGTCCTGGCACAGGCTGTTCCACTGCTTCATGTGCTTGCAGAGGGTGCAGAAGGACAGCGGCCATTCCAAGTGTCACTACCATATCAGGAAATGAAAAGATCGCCCTTGATAAGGGAACTTGTTATGCCTTTGATACCGAGATTGGGGAGACAAAAGCAACACTGAGATTTTTGTAAATCTGCCCTGGATCGGTTTCATTGTACTCAGAATCATCCAGCTCCTCCCAGGAGAACTGGTCCTCATGCTCCGCTCTCCTGCCATCCCAGCAGTCTGCAGACTTYCCAGCTGACTTCCCAAAATAGACATCCAGGGGCCTATTCCACTCACCTTCTCACTGCCTGTGCTGAAAGRCCAAGGAACTGTTCTCATCCCTACAGCACCCATTGCTTTTGTATCCCACCGTGGAGTTGCCAGATGGCTGCTAGGGTAAAAAGCCCACCCATTTTTTCTGTTGGTTCTTCTCATTGACTTGGAGGGGACTAAGTGAATTCATCCAGCTGTGACTGATGTGAGATGCTGTCCAAAACCACTCTAGAAAATGGGTATTTTATGACTTAATTTGGAGAAATTGTTCTTAGGGAATTCAGAAGCCAAAATAACTGTTTTATTTATGTAAGGTACTTGATAAAACAGCTTTGCACAACAGTCTTGAGAAATGTGCAATGGCTTGAACATTAAAATACTTGAATTATATGCTGCAGTTAACTTTTGCAGTTAATCTTTACTGCAGTTAACTGAAGGGAGAAGGTCCGAGCTGGGTCATCCTCCCCCTACAGAGCTTTTYGTGTGTTGACAGGAGGCCGTCAGTWTTGTCTCTCTGATCCTGCCGCAGGACACAGGTCTAGACTGGAATGCTGTGCACAATCTCCATTTCTACCAAATAACAGCCCTAAGGGCAAGCATGTTGTAGCTTTCCTCTGAAGTTTTTCTGGCTTCTCCCTGTAGTGCTTTCTAAGCCACAAGTGTTATCTGTGTGTTTAATAGCCCTCTGTGGTTTTTTTCATCTGGAATTTGTGGTTCACCTTTTTGAACTCTAGTGAAAAGTTTCTTTTGCAGAGCCTGGTTCAGCTGAGCTCCAGGTATGACACCATTCTCCATCTGTAGTTCCTGCCAAAGGAACAAGGGAGAAGCAGGAGATGTGGGAGGGGATGTTCACACTACCTTGACTCTGYTGGGTTTTTTGACATCGACTTTGGCAGTGAGGTTTGTGTGGCTGCTCAGGCAAACTCTTTGCTGTTCAGTCAGATGCTGTTCCTTTGATCCAGGGTTAAAGGTCAGACAGCTGCTGCCTCATTAAGCAGCCAGAGGAAACCTCATCCGGAGAGATTCATTAAAATGAGGAGCCAATTACTTGGGGGGAAGCTCTGTATATTGGTGTCAGATGTGCTGGGAAGACCTTTAATGGCATTAAATTCCATGTTTTGCTTAGTTTTGCTTCCCTTGTGCTTATACTGGCACCTCCACCCCAGCCCAGCAACTGGCCAGCAGTGGGAAGTGMTGGATCCTGCTGGAGACTCCAGTTCCAGTTGGACCCTCAGGTYTGAGGAGCTTCCCAAGGTATGCTGSCTGAGTTGCAGCAGGAATTCAGTGATCCCAGAGAGGCTTAGGGGTGTGACTGGCACATTTGGGAGGATCCATAAAGGGTAACATCACAATAGGGGAGGGAAGAGGAACTTTTAGCCTGAGTGCCAAATAATGACCAGTGAAGTAAATCACCAATATTGTGTGAATGTGGCAAATAATCTTCTAAGTGAGGAGACAAAGATCAAGGTGGGAAGTTTTGAAGTACTTAATTCTTAGGGGAATATAGACATTACAGAAGGGGGAGAGAGGAACAGTAGTGCAACCCTATTATTGCCTTCAGAAGTGTTCACAAATTCCCAACATTAAAACCTTGTGAGTTCATTAAGGTTTATTAAAATGTTCAGCTATCATGCAGCATTTGCTGCCTTAGGCTCCAGGATAAATACCTGTTTTTAGCACAGATAATGCAAACTTTAAATAAATGCAAGCAGATGTGTCCCCAGTTTTTTGCTKTGAGCACAGCAAAATGCCAAGGTTAATGCAGTTTGCATTTGAATTGTTTCTGAYGCTGATATGTGATAAATGCCTCGTGGTGTAATTGTGTGTAAATTGATATTAATGTGCAGTCTGCATCTGGAAAACTGAATTATACACACATGATGTACTTGTAAGTTTTCCCTGTCAAACAAATAATGTAAACCTGTTGCAAACTCTGCATATTTTTTTTAATTTAAGTTGAGGAGAAATCAAGAAATGCTAACCCAGTCTGTTACGCGTTGGATGAGAATCGACTCTTTGATAAGATGATTTTATTTCCAAATGGTGAGTGCATCAGACTCCTCAAAATTTTAAGAATAGCTAGAGCTTTCTGGGTTGTGGAAATGGAATTACCTGAAAATCAGGAGATGTTTGCCCAGGGATATCTTGATGCCTGAGGTGCCTGGCAGCTGGGTCTCTGCAACTGRCCTCAGTATCCAGGATTTTAATGGAAATAACTGCAGTCTCACCTMTGTTAGGAGTTGTCCTAAATGCCCAGGCTGGAACCTGCTTTTAGAAATCATCTAAATAATTTTGCCTTTTGCGTTTAAACAAATTCTGGTTGGTCTCCTKTGTATTTTGTATGACAAGGGGAATGTGCATTTCTGTTATTGTAGATTTAACTCTGTATTTCTTTTCTTGCTTACTCATTTTCTTTCTTTTTACCATATTTTATTCTGTTGTGTTCTAGGTTGGCCTTTACCACATGAACTAAAAGATGGTGCTGAAGTCCAATATGACACAAGAAGTTGGTGTATTTTTCTTTTATTTTTTTTGGAGGGGGAACTTAGATAAGTTGAATCCTGATGAGGTCCCATATTAATGATTTACAGGCAAAACTCCASAGTTTAAAAGAGTGGGAAGTGGGAATCAACTAACCCTGTGAGATCTGCAGACATGTCAGGCAAGCCAGTGTGCATAGCAGATTTTGAGGAATATGCTAGAACCTTTCTGCCCAAATCCGTGTACGATTATTACCGATCCGGAGCAGATGACCAGGAAACACTGGCAGATAATGTTGCAGCCTTTTCCAGGTAGGAGGATGATTGAAGGCTGGGGTGGGAGGCAGGGGGTGGGAGTTCTGCTTTATTGGTAGATGTGGTGCAATTTTAGATTTTTCTGGGTGAACAAAGCTCAATCTTTCTGCAACTTCTTTCTATTTGAGCAAAAAGACACTCAAAGAACTGATTTTCAGGACAACTCTYTCTCCCCTTTCACTCCTCCACCTAATGTTTTCTGTCAAAAAGCAGTCCCTAAAATCCATTAGCACCTTTTTAGCTTTGCCTGCATTTGGGTTCTTTTGTTAACAGAAATTCTCTGAAGAGTCCTTCAKCTCCAATATTTAATCAGCCAATGAAACTATAATTTCTACATTTTGGGTTATAGTGCCAGCAGGGAATTCTTGTGGTGGGGTTGTACCTTTTAGGTCCTGAGTCACTTTTGCCTTTTGCTTATTTCTCCTCAACTGATTTAGTTCCATGGCGTTCCCAGATCAGAACTGCAGGGCCCTGCAGGAAGGAGTTGCATTTCCCAGCGCTTGGGCGAGCCGGGAAAGCCAGGGCTCAGTCCTGGGTGGCCCARCTGTGCTCAGGAGTTTCCAGTAGAAGGTCAGCCCTTCACCAGGAGATACTGTAAATGATGGGAACTATTATAACCTAATTTTGACTTAGACTAACCCTCTGAACTGTTGTCAAAACCTGGGCTCGGGTCACCCTTAGCCTCAAAAGGACAAGGTGAGCACAAGGTCAGTCGGCACTTGCTGTGGGGTTGGGTGGAAGCATCATAACTCCATCACATCAGTTGGTTCCCTACTGCCAAATGTCCCTGAGGAGGGCAGAGGGAAGAAGGCAGCTGGAGGCTGCTGCCCTCAGCCCAGCTGAGCCCAGCTGAACTGCTCAAACTGCTGCTGACATCTCCTTTCTTCAAGGGCTGTGTTGGTGCAGACATTTAACCCCCTGCASTTGGCTTTGCAAAGGCTTTGTCTTTAGTTCCTCTGAGTCTAACAAACCACGACATTCACATTTTATCTTTAATCTTTCTCCCTGCCTGCTTTGCTTTTCTRTTGCACAGCAGCAACCCTACCCACTGCAACTGTCACTTTTCTGYAGGCTGTGGGCAATTCAGCTGGAAATCTCATGTAATTTGAAGGTTGTACAAAGCTCAGTGGTAATTAATTTAGCAGGATCTCAATGGTCAAATTGCAGAGATGGTCCCAGAACCTTAATTTTAAGGACACACGTAGGAAAGCTTTATCATGTCAAGAACTCATCTCCAGTGCTTATTCCAGAACTCCTAGCTCCATGCAGAAGCTGCCATCACAGATGGAATTTCCATGCTCAAGCACAAGCCAAAAGATTGCCCTGAGGAGTAYATAGGAGCAGGAGGGGATGGAGTAGTGCTCACTTAGTTTTTATTTTATCTTTCTTTAATGCTTCCAGATGCTCTGATKCTACTTGCCCTCATAAAACCAAAAAGAGACATTAAGGAAAGGACACTCCAAGGAAGTATTTGGARGAAATAAACTGCAGGAGCAGTGAACATTTTACTTGTAACTGCTGGAGCTAAGCATGATGATGTTGGATCTAAAGCTGCCAGAGACAGGCTGACAAAGAGCTGGGCATGTCCCTTGCTGTGTTGGCAGGGAGATAAAGGCAGCTCTGCTCTGAAGCCGTTTCCCACCACAGGGATGCATTCCTCTGATAAGAGACCACCTTGCACAGGCTGGTTGCCTGTGGGCTTCAGGCTTACCTCATCTTTCCTGCATCTTCCATTGCATTTTCAATAAAAACCTCCAGTTTTAGATGTTCAAAACCCTGGCATTTGCAGGCAGCCTGCAACTGAAGGAGATGTTCTTTAGCAGTGCCTTGAATGGCCTGAGACATTAAAAGCAGTCAGTGAAATCTGGTGTGGCTGAAAGCCCCTCAGTGCTGGGTTCCCACCCTTTAGCAGTGTGGGGATGAAGGGGCTGGAGATGAGTTTGTCTTTTGTTCCTCCTCCCTTTTTGTATTTGTCTGGAAGAAAGCAAGATCCCGTTTTCTCARCATGTGGGATGCTGCCATTAACAGTCATTAGACCACATTGGCAACAGCTTCCTGGGAGTACATCTCTAAAAGGTAGAAACCTGCTATAAAAGATTGGTACAATTTTGGTYTATAAGGCCTATTTGGCACAATGGACTTCAAAAAATCTTTTTTATTCATTTGGATGCTGTTGGGRGAAGCATGGCCCAGCTGTGGGGAAGTGCTGCTCACTCTGACCCTCACACAGTCCTGGTGTTTCTCCCTGTTCCTGAGTGCAGCTTGTGGGTAAATATAAAATCAGATGGACTTTACACCCTTGAGTCACAAAGATCACCAAGTCAGATAATTTTGTGCAAGATAGAGTATGTTCAGCTTCATTTCCCATTGATTTCCCCTGTCAGAAGCTTAGTTGCAAGGTTCAGCCTGATTTAAAAAGTTTGCAGTGCATTAAATATTTATATATGCRTATGTTTGAGTTTAAATGGAAGAGAAAGCACAAAACTGAATCAGTAGCACAAATTGTTAGCCTGTGCCTTTGTGGTGGAGTATTATTCAGGTGAGCAAGATGGGTGTGAGGGAGGAAAACCAGTGTTGGGCTCATCCATGATTTTTTTATTTTTTTTTTGCAAAGAAATGGTTTTATTTCTGGAGAAATAAATAGGTAATTATGATCAAGAACTAAACTTGCTGGATCCTACAAGATCTTCAGGAATACCCTGGGCAATTTTTGGAGCAGCACAGTTCATACTCATTGGATTATAAGATGAATGTCTTGGCCTTTTGACCTTCAAGTACTTTGTATAATCAGATATTAGAGGGTAAACTGCCCCCACAAGGACCTTTTTAAGATGAGTTTAACACAGGGTACAGCGACTCTCCCCCAGCTCCCAGTTGTTCTGGGACCAGGGAAGAACCAGCACTCGGATATTGACATCAGGGTGTTCCTGCTGAGGCCAGATGAGTATTTCTTATTCATAGTTCCCAAATGGTCCTGGCATAAGTGAGGCATTAAGGCCAGAAGAGATGATTTGGGATGTCAGAGCATATGTGGTGTCTGACTGGGTTAGCTCTGCATCCTGGAATGCCMAGTGTGCTCCCAGAGTGTGCTCCCAGCCCTGTCCAGCCCTGAAATCCTATCTTGAGTTGTCACGGAACCAAAGGCCCAAATGGAGAAGAGATTTTTGTGACAAGGTCGGGACGCCTTTAGCTCGATGACGTTTTAAGGAATCAATCTGGAGTCTCCCCTCTCAGCATGTCAAGGAAGGGGSATGTCAGTGTGTGTAGGAACAAGCTCCTGCTAATCTGCCCTGACAAACTCTGCCACGGAATTCCCAGAGGCCTTGGGAGAAGCTGCCTTGTTCTGTCGTTTGCAAGGAGCAGCAGCTGCTGCTTCAGCAGTGCCAGCATCAACCTAGGCTTTCTGCAAATGGGGTGTTACCTTGTAGCAATTAAAGGCATTCAAATAGTCACAGAAGTAGTTTAAATWTTGATTAAAAGAGCAAGGCTGAGAGTAACCAGGTCAGAAAAGCCTGGGAAATCGTAGGGGGAGAAAAGGAAAGAAATGCTTGGAATCATAACCATTTAGKTACATTGTTGTGACGTCTTTCACCTCAGATTCCCAGAGCACCATGAAAAGAGTGCAGATGGCAAGACATCCTGGGAAGCAAGATCAGTTTTCCTCAGGGAAAAGCAGCTGTTGCTTAGCCTGACACTGCACCAGCCSCTGCTCCTTCTGATGGGAAGTGGAACTGTAGGAGAGAAAAGGACGGCAAATGCGGTTGGGATTAGGATGGAAACTCTTGCTTGATCCGTGTTCTTTTCCCAAGTGCACTGCTTGCCCTGCAGCATGAGGGGATTATTTGGGGCAACTCAGGAGGGGAACAAGAAGAGCTATTTAGAAATGTGTTGCAGTTTAAAAATTTTGATGTTTTTCACAACTGAAAGCAGCCAGTCCTTCCCTCTTAACCCACTGCAAGATAAGTTATAATTGGAAATTTTTTGAGCGTGGGGAAAAAAGAAAAAAAAAAACCCAAAAGATTAATCCACCTTCCTTCCCTTTAATCCTTCTTTCAAAACAGCTTTTAGCTGAAGTTGCCTAAATTGGGAATGCTCGCTGCCTTCCCCACTGCGGCATCTCCCGCTTCCAGCTGGGAAGAAGGATGCACTCTCAGTTGCTGATTGCAGCACATGAGTGTGGACTTGGCTGGGAAAAGATGTGGGTGAAGAGGAGATGGTGAATTAAAATAAAAAAAAAAATCCAAGTTTTTTTTTCCAAAATGTGCAGGAAATGCTTCACTGAAAGTCTTGGAGGAAGCAGGTGCTGTGTGGCAGCCGAATGACCATCATGACTGGGAATGCTGCTCCTGGGGTTTCCTTGCTGCTCTTAAGGACATTTCCCTACACTTGTCCAGAAAATGCTTGSCTTCAAATGTCTGTCAAACTCCGAGCTGAAAACACCTGAGGTTCCAAAGCAAGATCAGGATTTATTAAAAGGTGATGACACCAGGTAGTGAACCTGTTTGGTGTTTTCATGGGGCYCAGTCAATCCTGGGTCAGGAGCACTGACTGGATGTTGATTGAGAGGATGTGACCTGATAAGGTATCATTGCCTGAGACTGCATTATTTTTCTTGCATGCACTGCAGGGAGGATTTGGCTTCTCCTGTTTCTTTTCCCAGCTAAAAACACTACAGGAATGTTGTACCTCAGGACTGACCTTTACAGGCTGACTGTGACATGGCAGTGGCAAGTAACAATCTGACAGGCCAGAGAAAACAGGAGCCTGGGGAAGAGGGAGATGCTCCACATCCTTTATGCATTTGGGTTTCATTCTATACATGAGTAAGGTTTCAAAGAGATTTTTGTTTTCTTTGTTTGCTGGGAAAAGATGCCTCAACACAGAGTGGAAGCCTTTGGAATGAGGATTAGGAAAAAAGGGGGAGAAAGAAGTCATGTTTTCTTTGTCCCACCCTCAGCCCATCCTCCCCTGAAAAATAACAAATACAATAGCATGAAAACAAGTGTGAGGAGATGTTCTTGCTGTGTGTGTCTTGGCACTGAGCAGCACAGCTGATTTCCACAGCCACACATCTCCGTCCAAGCATCATAACTGTGCTTCTCCTCCCTGGGGAGCACTTCCTGGAGAGYTGGCACAGCCCTRTGCTCTGGGGCTTCAGAAAGGTGGGTCTCGTCCTGGCCCTGTCCCAGGCTTGGGGAAATGTCTCTTGATCTTTCTATAAAAGAGAGAGATTTTGTCATTTTTTCCCCCTGACTTGTCACTTTAATAATCACCTCTGCTCTCTGTCAGAGGGTAACAGTGGCCCTGCTTCTATCTCAGTCATTTTAATATCAGTCTTGAGCATTCTGGTGCTGAGCAATTCATCAGGTACAGCAGTATACGACCATACAATTAAAAATCTTCTCTGGAATTACAGTTCAGGAGCCATGGGAGTCCTTTCAGAGAGAGGGAGCCTCAGTGAGGAGTTGATGCTTGCAGAGAGGCTTTGGGCTGGCTGAGCTCACARGAGCCAGCCCCAGGTATTGCACCCCCTCTTGTGGCTTCTAGTGGTGGCAGTGCTGTGACAACACCTGCATGATGGGGAAARGTCCCATTGCAAAGGTATCCCCAGGAATGCAACCCTCTTCATAAAACCTGGCGYGTTGTGGAGTCTAGTTGATCCTGTAATAGGGGTCATGAGCTCATGATGCTGTTTTGTTGGGGAAGGAAAAAAAAAAGATAAATTTTCTGTGTGTGCGGACATGTGGTGTCCAGCCTGATTGCAATAAGCTGTAATTTCAGGTTCAGTGTGGTTTCGCTTGCTGTATTTTGGGAAACGGAGTTCCAAGCATGCAGGCCARGCTTGTGTTATCCAAAATTCCTGTGTCTTTTGCTTCTCTAGTCCATAGAAGGGATGACTCCGGGTGGCTGATGACTTTTCCCATTTACACACAGCATCTTTCACCCAGTTCTGCCCCAAGGCTTTTGAGGGGGCTGAGACTCACTATGAACCTTTTTATTTTGCAGCTCCTGTCTTTGCTTTCAAATGATAGCCAATAATGTTCAAGGAATCTGTGCCTCTCACCCTCCCTCTTTGGTGCTTCCTTGCCTGCTCCCTCCACGTTTAGTRCCTTGCAGGGGTTTTGCTGCTGCTCTGGGTCCCACAGTGGGATCCTGTTCCAGCCCCAGTATGGCTTTCACCGTGTGACAGCAGGAAAGCCTGCTCTTGCCCATTGGGAACTATGAATGCTGCAGCTGTTTGGAATTGTGTTTATTTGTGTCTGTGGCAGGTGGAAGCTGTACCCCCGGGTTCTCAGGGACGTGTCAGTGATGGACCTGTCCACCTCGGTTTTGGGGCAGAGGGTCACCATGCCCGTGTGCGTCGCCGCCACCGCRATGCAGCGCATGGCTCACCCGCAGGGAGAGACGGCGACAGCCAGAGGTGAGCCCTGCATGGCCCCTGCTGGGGGGTGAAAAAGGGACAGGGCAGTGCTGTGCCTCTGCCTGGGGATCCCAGCTTGGTTCCTTGCTCCTGGATGTGTTTGACTTGCTGCTCAGAGTAATCAGGTTGATTTTAGTGNTTTTTTTTTTTTTTTTCTTACTGTTCCACTCCACTGTTTGAGTGCGGTTTCTCTCTTCATGGAGTAGGGGTGGCAAATGAAGTATGAAAGAGGGCAATAAGGTGTTACACATCAAATTGAAAACTGCACCTATGTATGTATCTACACATTCTATATAACCATATATATTGTCACAGCAACACTCTTCTATTAGAGAATTGATTTTAGAGATACAGAGGCCTTTGTTTGCCTGGGGAAAATCCTTGCTTTGAAGAGAGCTCTTTGAGAACATCCCAGGGAGGCAGCAAGATAAGGGCCCCTCTGGGCTAGAAGCTGCACAAAGATGTTGCCAGCACAGAGGCTGCAGCTTAAAAKGATATTAAGCAGAATTCAGAAGGGGAACTGTCTCCTACTCCTGTAACTCAAGCTGCAGAATGGCACCAAAGCTGAGGAAGAGATGTGGGCTGTGTATTTCCGTGCTCCAGCACTGAATGAAAAAGGACACAGAACCTAAGTAGGTGATATTTAAAAAAAATGAATCCTATGCATGATTGGGTTATGAATCTAGCAGCGTTTCTGTGACCAGTGCAGGAGACATTGGTGTGAAGCGAGTCTAATGCTGAGCCCTGCAGTGGGAGCTGTTCTCAGGTCACACGGCTGCGATGTGCATGGGGATGGGTTACAGCACAGCTCCAGCAGCCATCTCTGTAAAAACGCATCTCTCCAATTTTATAGTATGTTTGGGGCCACGGTTTTCCCTTTCCCAAGAGATTAGTCAGGAAACCGACCCGTTTTTCCTGTTTGTGAATGCCGGCGTGCTCCACACGATGGCACTCCAATACCTTGGATCGGATTGGGAAGGGCCGGTGGTGGCGTTGGGGCTGTCCCGTCCTTCGGCAGCTCTCGCGGATTAATTCAGGTTATACTGAGAGGAAATTGAAGCATTACCCTGTTAAGTGCAAACATATTAATGCACTGGTGAGCGGGAATTGAAACACACAAAAATCRGGATGTTTCTCAGCAAAAATTCCCACCGATGCTGCAGCCCAGCTACTTTTTAAAGCTTAAATCCACAATGGCAGGCAAGGACGAGTGGTACGGTAAGGCTGAGTATCAGGGCTGAGTTATAGCTGTGGCAGTAACTTAATTCTGGAATTTCCTGGGTTTTGTGCACTTGCRTTTTCAAACTTTAACATGTGATAATTGCTTGCAATGTTTCTGGGTTTTCAAGCTAGGAGACCTTGGTGTACTGGCACTGGTTGGAATGTGCAGTCCAGTAAACATACCTATTGRAGCTGGTGAATTTTTCATTGCTGTCGAAGGAGAGCATTATTAAAATCACACCCTCTGTATTGCATTAGCATTTTTGGGAGAAAAAAAGTGGCTTTGGTTTTGTGCTGTTGGAGGTGGAGCGGGGCACTCAGTGCAAAGCTTTTGGTTTGACCTTCTAAGATGACAGGAATTAGCTSTAAAGTACTCGTTTGGCTTAAAGGTTCTCTTAAACTTGGGACACTCAGGATCAGGGGGTTTGCCACGTCCAACTCCTCTTATATTGCAGAGGTAGCACAGAGTTTAAGTGAGCAAATGGTTGTTTTAATTCAGCTTCTGCTTCAGCTGCACCGATTTGCACAAGCCAAGRAAGTTTGATCCATAGTCCTGTGGCTTTTGCAAAGCCTGGCATGCTTCATAAGCCTGGCTTTTTTTGGCTCAGGTGTATGGGAAGTGCTGTATGAGGTGGTGCCTGTGCATGTCACCATCGTTGAGAAGCACAGCGTGCTCTCAGTCCTGCTCCTTCCCAGCCAGTGCCCTGGCTCATGCTGGGGCAGAGCAGCTCCCAAAGGAGCATCCCTGTGTGYCACCAGTCTGCCTGGCTGGGCCTGAGCCCCCAGAGATAATCCTGGCTTCACACCATGCTGCCCTGCAGAGCAGGGTGGTGCAGGGAGCAGTGACAGCTCTTCCCCTTCATCTCACAGTGGAATTTCCTTGAGGAACAGCATCTTGCWTGGAACTGCTCTGCTCTTCTGCAGGTTTGCCTCTACATTGTAAGGCAAGTGTCCCCTCTAGGGACAAGAGCATGTCATGGTGTCCCCTGCCCTCACAACCCCTTGCTCTGAGGCTTGTCAGGGTTTTGGGGCTGCTGCTTCCTGAGGGATGCTCTCCTACAGGAGCCAAACTAGTGAAGAGGAGTCTGCACCTTCCCAAAACAGGGCAGAGTTTGTCAGCTCACCTTAAACACGCACAGTTCTTTTGCATTAGTAAAGGATCTTTCCTCGGAAAGCCACCTAATTGTAATTTTAAARGTTGCTGGTGACAGGCCAGCCAACACAATGTAAGTTATTTCAAAGTTTAAATAAACCTACTCCAAGCAGAAAAAACTGCAATTCATGGTCAAACCTTGCACAGCCTCARATCCAGGTGTTGAATTTACTTGTACTCCTGTTAGCTAGACTTTAAAATAATAAATTATTTTTTTTTAAAGTCTATGCAGGCTGTATTAAGGTTGCTCCTCAGTTTTCTTTGACATGTCAAAATGTGCCAGGAGTCCTTCCTTACAGAGAAAGCTCMCTTGTCCTTGAAACAATTTCATGCACCTTGGCAGTTGTCCCAGTTTTTCTAGGTCTTCCTTCAAGTATATTCCCTGACATTTTAGTTGTAGTTCATCAGTGTACATGGCAATTTTCCAAAGAATGGATTTTCTGTTCAGAAGAAACTGAAAAATTGGGAGTAAAATTGTTTTGGATTAACTGAAATGYTTCATTTGATCCAAAACACAATGTTTTATTTCATTTTCCTACTGGCTAATGCTTTTAGCTATACTTCTGTTTTGAAACAAAAGTGTTAGCTCAGGAGAAAACATTTCCATTTTGAAAAGATCAACACATGACATTTTGACTTAGGTGTTTTTTTTCTCATCCTTCCTGCTCCAATTTCAACCTCTTTGACTAAAAATATTTGCCAAATTTGATGAATAATCTTAGCCACTAAAGAGCAAAAGGTTGTTCTCTAARCACTTTTCAATAGAATCCCTCTGATTCTATGGGATCATTTTTTCTTGCTTGTCCATCAGAAGATTGGCTGTTCCTCCATGCCAAGACATTCATTTGCCATCCTGATTTCATGCAGTGCTTGCAAACCAACATGATCCCTGTGTCAACAGGACCCACCTCAAACTCCCTGACTCCAAATCTTGTGCACCATCCAGCTGCTTAGCAAGAAATAGCATTTTTTTTTGCAGCCTTAATCGATTACAAACAGATTTGCAGCATTATTTKATTGAATTTTCTATTCTGTTCATATTTCTGCTTATTCCATATTGCACTTACTGAGTAGTTAAAATTCCTGTGTTTTCACCCCAAAGCAGCATTGCAATGCCTGGCTTCTCCATGAATRGCTGAAAATCAGGCTGAGAACCTGMCTGTTTTCCTGGCCAGGTYGTTTGAAAACTGTCACTGACAGTWGYTCAGGGCTGAAGTTTTTGTGTTTGCCCTCTGCAGCTGCACTCCAACCACTCTCCAAGCTGCTGCTGACGCAGAAAGGGTTTCACCATCACCTGCGACGTGACTGCACCGTTTGCTTTGCCAAATGGAGAACACGAATATTGACTGAAAAGTGTTTTTCCCCTGTTTTAGTTGAGTTTCTGGCAGCTATCATTCCCACAAGAGAGGGAGCAACACCTTTGTTCCTTTGGCTCTTAACAGGCTGCTACTGTGCTTTTGCTCTCTGAGGCTGCTGAGCACCAAAATTCGTGGTTGTGACTGGGAAGGAGAGATTTGGTCACTTATTACATTTTGTGCTCAGCCACAGTGAAAACAGTAGGACTTTGTACCCACCTGTTACCTATGTGGTGATCAAAACATTAGTTAAATGTTGAAGTATGAAAATGACTGTCAATCCAGAGTCATGGAGAGGGCAATATTCACATGGGACAATGTGACCTGGGCTGACCTGGCCTGGATTCCACCCCGGAGCGTGGCGTGGCCGGGGGACTTTGAGCTGCAAGTGTGCACAGGCAGCCTGGCATGCCAGCCCTCCTGGGCCAGCCAGATCCCAGATCCGTTTTGGCCTCGTGTTCCTTCCCCTCCTGCCTTCCTGCACAGCTGACAAAACGCGTTGTGTCAACAGCAGGATGGCAGGCACGGCTCGCACGCAGGGTTTTGTAAGGGCTGAGAGAGGGGAGGCTGACAGGGATCTCTAAGCCAAGTGTGGTTTGTCAAGAGAGTAACTTTGAGTTCTTTAAACAACTCTGTTCCTTGGGAGATGCAGCTCTAAGAACACGGCTGCTGCTCCTGAGAAATACCACTGTGCCAAAAGGACATTGTGTTGATCCCAAGGAATGTCCTCTGGCCCTTAGCCTGGGACAGTGGATTCACTGGTGGATTCAGGGGAAAAATGTCTGCAGAGGGGCAGTTTGGCTGCTGGGCTTCAGAGATGCCYCTAAAAGGGAAATGATGGGAATTTGCCCAGCTAGAGGAAAAAAGSAAGTTCCCATTCCCATACAAGGTAACCCTGACAAAATACACAAGCTTGAGCTGGGCTCTTCTCCAGTGTCCTCCATGAAGTATGTTGCCTCTGAGTTGCCCACAGGGATGAATTCCATACCCTTCYCAAACCACGTAATGAAGTGATGCCYCATCAGATGTGGAGAGGATACTCTGAGGCCTCAGGATGTAGAAASGGCTAAAAAAGGTCACTGCTCTGTTCCCAAATGGGTCCTGTCCCATTTGTTGCTATGTAAAACACTTCAGTTGAGTTCGCCAAGAATGAATGGTTTCAAACTGCCAGAGGCCAGGTTTGGATTGGATATTAATTGGGAAGAGATTCTTTAGCATTCTGTGGTTCCATGGACTTCCCCAGCCTCCTGTTGGGGCTCAAGCTGTGCTCTCTGTACTCTTGTGGACCCCAAAAGGAGCCTGCAGGGTGTACAARGGGGAATGTGTCCTTTGGGCAATGCTCAGGATTAAAAGAAGACCTGGAAAAAACCCCMCAAAAAACAAACAACTRAGAGCAATCTGAAACAGCRTGAGGAAAGGCTGGTTTACAAAAACATCTTCTGTTTAAACTCTGGCAAATGTCACATATTGCAGCAAGAGCGTCCTGTGGGAATATGGCTGTAGTAGGACTGATTTGAAATAATAAATAATTTGCAGCACCCTAAAAGTGAAGCCTAAATTAAGGTTGTTGGAGGAAATGAATTGCTTCTGTTTTCTTCTACTGCAGCTAAATGTGTGAGAAGTGGGAGTGTATTTTTAGAAAAACCTAATTTGAGGTAGAAAAAAATCCCAACCAAACCTGGCAACACTTCAGGCCTCTGTATCTCATGGTTTTAAAAGTCTACAAAATTRTCAAAATAAACTTTAAAGTGATCAAGGTAAAGCACGCATTGACAAAAACTGGGAATTTCTAAAACTTTGAAAAATCCTGTCTGTGAACTTTGGATTTGCCTGAGAGATCTAAACTATGTGAGTTGAGCTGGTGCTTCACCAGAGAGTTGTGAACATTRCAGGAGAGACGAGGGGAATTTTGTGAGCATTCTTGCGTGAAAATGCCATAACCCTGTTTGGGATGGCTGAACTCTAATTGAACCAAACTGATCTTAAAAAAGAGGGAAGCCTTATTTTCTCTATTGCTACATATGCAGCTAAGTTGAAAAGACATGACGATATATGATTATTTAAATCTTCTCGTCACTAAAAATGATTCATTGTGCAGTTTCTAACTTAATTTTTGCTTTTGCAACCATAGAGCTATAGAGGTAGACTTGGGAATAAAAGGGAAAAATGGAAATGAGTGGATACCTAAAGGCAGATTGAACCATAACATTTACATTTCTCCCTTATCTGATGGGAGGGTTTTGCAATTGCTGGGTTAGCGACCCTCTCGCTCATTCCCGATATAGAGAGAACTATGTCCAGTAATGTCAAGGGAAGGAACGAAATGACTGCAAAGTAGAGAGGTTTGGGTCATKGCTACTGTAATTCCAGTGAGGGAAAACTGCCTGGTGGCCCTGGGAGGGTGTAACCAATTTGTTTGAATAAGCTGTTCATAAGTTTCCACTCCAAGAGGCCTGTAATCCTTATTTAATAAAATGTTGTCATAAAGACCACTTTTTAATTCCTCCACGGGCTTGGGATGACGTCTTGAAACAGAGGTCCATTTACAYTAAAAATATGCATACTGTGGTAGACCAAGGAAAATAAGGCTTTCTATAATATTTTTGAGTTTTACGGCGTGTTTTCCTTTATTTTACAGTAAGTGACAGATTGCTCCAAAAAGAATAAGTGATAGATTCATAAAAACATATCTCCACGAGGTTAGCTGGTACAGCCTGGCCTGGCAATCACCCTTAGGGAAGGTGATTTTGGGAGGCAATGTGACAGTGCTTAAAAAGTTGGAAGTCTTCAATGCATTATTTTGATGCCCCTGTTTAGAGAATATCACTTTGTATTCCTCCAGCCTGCCAGGCCGTGGGGACAGGGATGATGCTGAGCTCCTGGGCCACCTCTTCCATTGAGGAGGTGGCTGAGGCAGCTCCGGGCGGCCTTCGCTGGCTGCAGCTGTACGTGTACAAGGACCGGCAGGTCACGGAATCGCTGGTGCGGCGCGCCGAGAGAGCCGGATACCGAGGGATCTTCGTCACCGTGGACACCCCGTACCTCGGCCGGCGCGTCGCYGACGTGCGCAACAAGTTCCAGCTTCCCCCACACCTCAGGTAGAGCTGCTGCTGGATTGGGAGGTGAAAGTGTGGCAGTGCTATGGGCACCAGGGGCTGCTGCGGGAGAGATTTGTCCCTGGCAGTCGTCCTGTGAAGCTGTGTGTGTATTTTGTGCTTGGGCTGGGATCTGCTTTGGGGTGAAACTCAGCTTTGCTGGCTGTTTGTAGAGTGTAGAACACACTGTGCCAGGCAATGTGAGGCTGCAGGCTGATGAGGTAGGAGACATGGAGCATTTCTTATGTATGGGTCAATGAATTCTTGGCTATCTTCAAACCTCAGCTGGACACGGCCTGGATTGACCTGCTCTGATGTTGAACTGGGATCCAGTGACAGAGTTGGCCGTGCTCTGAAAGGGGCCTGGACTTAGTGGGCCAAAACTCTTTCCAAAAGATGTTATAGTTCCCTCTACGTTGTCCTATGGCACTGCTCTGGGTCCAGGGCGATGTTGCTATAGATTGCAGAGTCACTTTCTGAGCAACTTTGAGTCTTCTTATACTCAAATACAGAAACATGTGGTTTTCAGTCTTTCTAAATTCTCCATGAGACCAATTTCTGCCCCAAAGTGTGTTTTGTAATTTTTTCTCTGTCTCAGAATTTGCAGCCTCGGGATTGACTTCAGCACTAATTCTAGTTCCTCCCCACTGCAGGGACAATGAGGAATTCAATTTTGATAGAGTTAGACCAGAATTTTAACCTTACAAGGCAGTTGGAAAGGTGCTGATTTGCCTGGCCTTTTGTAAATATGAATTGATAAGACTCTAAGGACTACCCTGATAAACGTATGCTGAAGTGCTGGCATAGKCTTAGCAGCAAAGGCCTGGCTGGAAGAATTTTAGTTGATGTGATATCTAGGTCTTGGAGCTAAATATCTGTGTTTGACACATTATCAATATGCACTGGCCTTTTACCCTAAAAAAAAAGAAATAAACAATTCTTTAAATAGCTTATTTTTCAGGGGCAATAGAGTTTTAAGGCCTGGGGTTGAAGAGTTTTTCAATGTGAGTCCAATAACCCAAAGACATTTGAGGATAGAGCATTTCTGAAACACTTTGACCCCACCTGACCAAACCATAACAAGGTTTCAAGTGAACTGTATGAAATCATATGAAATTGGAGTAATCCTTAAAGGTTCCAATTAATCATTCCAGATTTCCGAGCTGCTTGGGCAGCGCTTTGTTGCAGAGGCCGCAGTGAAACTCTCCTAGCGCGGGGCTCTGCTCATTTGCGTGATAACTTTTTCTTGGCTTCGGGTTTTCAACAAAGTTTCAAAGCAACAACAAGGTGCCATTGTGCTCCAAAATGTATGTAAGGCAACATTCATCCAAGTGTTGATCTGCATTTCCCAGGCCAAGAAAAACAACAGTTATTTATATAATCTTATCCATGGTTCTGTTTTTCTCTGGGCACCCCACCCTCCACAAACCAACAGCTCAAAAGCTGGATCTTGTCGAGAGCCCGCTCCTTTCTCATTTGCTTCTGGGCCTGGASCTGAGCAGAAAAGCCATGTGAAATGCTGCTTGTTGCAGGCATGAAATCAGCAGTGAAACCAGCCAGGTTCCATGCAAAAACACTCATGCACTTCCCAAAATGTAAAATGTGAAATGTGAGTATTAAATAGCCCAATGTGGAACAGGATGCAGTTTCTGAAGAGCAGGGTAATTAGTCTCATGTGGGACATGGGTGTACCAGAACCTGTGAGATGGATTTTTTGCTGAAAAACCCAAATAATAGCTTATGTTTTCACTTGAGCTTTCTTTCCCCTCTACATTTTACCAGGAAATGTACRAAAGGGACACAGGCTAAACAGGCTGGCTGTTAGCCTTATTGGACAGATGAAAATTCTGAATTCTTTGCAGGGCTTCATGCACTTCCATCTAATTCATGGAGCTTAAGAAAACTTCATTCCTCCTTCTCCCCTCCACTTACCTAATCCCATATTCCTCTCATAGCTGAATTTCCTGGATTTGAAAAATAACAAAACCCACCCCTGTTTCTTTTGCTATAGAAGTCAGACTGTTGCCTTGGGCCAGAAAAACTTGCCCCGATGTTATCACAAAATATAGAARGGCTTGGGTTGGAAAGGACATTAAAGATCCAATGCTTATGTTGGTTATCAAATGCTTGGTCAGCCAAAGATTTTGTCTCCCTGAAGGCTGGGATCTGATGTGCTGAGATGGGCTGGTTTTGCTCCTGCCCTGCAGTGCAGCAAAGCTTAAAAACAGGTATATTGAATGCTGGCGTTTGGGACTGAGTGATGGCTACAGAAAATCTTCCTCAGACTATTCTTCTGTGTCTCTTGTTACTTTAGATTAAAAAACTTTTCCAGCAGTGACCTGGCATTTTCCTCCGGGAAAGACTTTGGAGAAAACAGCGGGCTGGCTGTGTATGTGGCTGAGGCCATCGATGCCAGMGTCAACTGGGAGGACATCAAGTGGCTCCGGGGGCTGACCTCGCTGCCCATCGTGGTGAAAGGAATTCTCAGGGGTGCGTAACTCTGCCGCTTCCCGGGGSAAAGAGCTGTCACTTCCTCAAGCACCGGTAGGAGCCCAGCAGTGAAGGTGTTTGTGGAAGCAGCTGCTTAAATAAGTGCCTGCTGTAGTCACCAACACCARCATTAATGTAATCATGCCAGTGGTTTTGGAGTGGGAAAAATTCAGCAAAGTAACTTCTTAYTGATGAGTTGAAGAGTATAATAGAGAAAATAAAGGCAAGCAACCACAATGGCTGCTGGTCCAAAGGGATAAAATGTTCTGCTCCAACATTTCAAGCTACTTTTCTGGTCTTATTGCTTAAAGTTAAAACTTCTTTTCTGTTTTGAGGTGCAGCTTTGGAAGGCTGAAGCCCCAGCTGGTTTGCATGAGCTGGCAATAGTTTTTTAGGGATTCCCTCATTGTGGTGTCTGCAAGCTCCCAGTTATGGAAGGGCATATCCCATTTGTTTGGGKTTTTTTCTAGCTGATGATGCCAAAGAAGCTGTAAAGATTGGGGTAAATGGGATCCTGGTATCAAATCATGGAGCACGGCAGCTCGACGGGGTCCCTGCTACTGTAAGTACTGATGCCAATATGCTCTAGTAATCTCTAATTTTCTCTGCCTTTTGGCTCCTTGTTTGCTTTCTCTGGACATGTGGAAGCTGGAGGAAAAACCTGGAATAAGTGTTCTATGCCTTAAGCCATGAGTAATAACATCTCTGTACTTTTCTCTGTATATCACATCATACCCTGAGTTAGACAGCCTTTCCTAGGTAGATCAAACCATAAAATGTTTCAGAAATCTTTTTCCAGTCCCCTCTTTCATTTTTTTTCTCATTCTTTTTTTGAAAAACCCTTGTTGCCATTTGCAGCACACTGAAGGTTTAATCGGGATGTTTTCCTCTTTTAATATTCTTYGGAGATTTCTGAAAAGTTACAGTTAAGGAACAGCTAAATACAGAATGAAACTCTCCATTTTTCTCCTTTCAAGTATTTTCACCTTTGGAAAAGGGAGAGAGTGGTTAAATTACAGTTTTTCCTTTTTCCTTTTCCTTGTCGTGCTACCCCATGCCTTTTCCAAAGGTGAAAGGGATTTGAGAATTTCTGGGTCGGCAAAAAAGAAAGAAGTAAAGGAAAATGAAAAAGTATGTGCTCAGGATGAAGGAAAAACCCCAAAATTCCAGTCATCACTCATCTTGCTTCATTTGGTGTGGAAAAGCTGCACAAATAAAAAGAGAATGAAAGGGAGGAGAATCAAAGCGCACTTGTGCCTCTGTGAGTATTTCCAACATGTTCCTGATGAAAAACCTCCTGTTTTCCATGATGGTTCCCTGAAGGGAGAGGGAAATAGGTCCTCTTGTTACTTGTCCCCAGTTTCACTGAGTATATTTAAAAACCTTGGGCAAGCCTGTGTGTGAGGTAATCCAACAGGAACAATGTATAAGGGTGTTAAAAACATCCTTTTGAGGAATGAGAGCTCAAGAAATACAAATTAATTTTTGAGAGCTGCAGTAGAACAGAAATTTGCAAAATCCATGTTAGGGTTTACTCCTTTGCAGCACCCCAGGGCAGAGAACTGAGTTYATGGTACAAAGAGCAACACTTCACAATGCAGTTTTTATAATGTATCTGTATCAGATCATGTTAAATGGTCCTGATTTAGGAACATCATCATTTGCTTTCATTTCATGGTGTTTCAGATTGTGAGCTGAATCTAAGCTGGTCAATATTTCTAGTGTCTAGTTACACATTGAGGAAATCTATGTTTTAATTATGGTTTGCACCATGCTTTAGTTATTAGAGCACTTTAATGTTGGTACAGTTTGTCAGGATGTAGAAAGTGGTCTCTGTATATGGAAATAGATCCAAAATATGTTTGGCAAGAGAGCAAAACCAAAGGGAGGGGGAAAATCACAGCAAATGCCAAACTTGAAGAGAATTTTAATCCAAATCTAAAAACAAACTTCACTTTCAAGTATTTTTCCCCCATCTTCTAATAATTTTTATCCATTAGAAAGGAAATTAATTACATCCGTATTTGAAAGACATGAATTTGTGTGTCTTTTGTCTTACTTCCACACACTGTTCCCAGTCTCCTTAATATTTGGCTTCTGCTGGTGTCCCTTTCCTGGTTTTCATGAATAGGAACTATTTAGGCGGCCTTATAGGGAAAGTTGCCCTGTAATTAATGCTCCARGCTTGAATTGAGGAGACTCATCTTTTCACTGGGACCTCTTGCATGGCAAGAGGAACGACTTAATTTCCTGGTTACTTGTAACTCGAGAACAGTAAAAAGACWTTTCCCCCTTACTGGTATCACTGCTGTAGGGGATAACTAGAGGAAGGGATAAATAGGTCTCAGTGAAAGCAACAAACATGTGCATTAAAAGAAATTATTTCCCACCTTATTCAAAACTTAGAGGAATGGTTTTTTTTCTTAGATTGAGAAGTTTTTCTCTACAGTCATTTGTGTAATTAGATGCATTTTCAAAAGGAAAAGTACATTAATTAAAAATTTTCAGCCTAAAAATTTTCAGAACTCTAAGTTCCTCCAGGCATGTGTTTCTCTTACTCCTTGTCTATAGGTACAGTGCCTGCCTCTGGGCTCCTGAGCTTGGGATAAATGAATGGTAAATTTAAACAGGGAAGCAAAGATGATAATTTAAAAAGTGAGAGTGATCCAATTTCATCCTCAAACTCGTGAAGACTGGAAGTTTGGGAGGTAATGCCATGGCAAGGCCTCCTTAGTGATGAATGKTTCTTATATTCTGCATGAAAATCAGATACTGACTTGTGTCAGATGGAAGTCATGGGATCAGATGGCCATTTTGTGAGACTCTGCAGGTTCTGAGAACCTATTTATGTRACTCTCCAAATAAAYTTGACCTTTGTATGTACCTTCTACCCTGCAATGTCACTGCTGGCTCTCAACACAAAGCTGTGTTATTTGGGTATAGATTTAGGCATGCAATTGCTCATTAAGCTTCTTTAAAGCTTGGATCCTATGTGTAAGAACTCACTCAAAAAATAAATAGGGCTTCAAGAATCAGCCAAGCTGTATTTCTGGTTTTACTTTTAGATTGATGTCTTGCCTGAAATTGTGGATGCTGTGGAGGGGAAGGTGGAGGTGTTYCTGGATGGTGGTGTAAGAAAAGGCACGGACGTTCTCAAAGCACTGGCTCTCGGTGCCAAAGCTGTTTTCATTGGAAGACCCCTCCTCTGGGGATTGGCTTATCAAGTACGTTAAAAAAAGCTCAAATTTTGTGATTTTAGATCCCTAATCTCACTGTTTAGTTTTACTATATGTACATGTGYGTGTGTGTRTGTGATGGTGTCTGTGTGCATCCAGATCACCTGATGTAAAATTTGCTGTGACGAACACTCAGGATTTATGTTTGTGCATAAATATTTTGGCGCACCTACAGACATATACGTACACATCATAATTCACATTGTCTCCTAATCTCCCAGGGTGAAGAAGGAGCAAAAGAAGTTCTCCAGATGCTGAAGGAAGAGTTTCGCCTGGCAATGGCACTGACGGGTGAGACATCAACATTTCCTCTCCATAATCACATTTTCTCAGAGCTTTCATTTGCCCCAGGCAAGATGCTATAGCAACTTGCATGAGGGGAATGTTTGCAATATAAACAGGTTAATCTGTGGAGAAACAGGAAAAGGGCTTGTTATCCCTGCCTTATAAATGGGGAACTGAGTAGATTAAGTAAAAACTTTGGCGTTTTTTAGTTTGGGTTTTTTTTTTTTTTTCCCCAAGGAGAGCAATAAATCCATAGAAAAGTAAAAAGTAGTGGCAAATCTTTGGTTGCAACAGGGTGGATTTCATCCGACAGAATGTAGACTTTTATGAGGCCAAAAAAGAAAAGGCTTAAGAGTGGGTTGGAAAATCAGGGGTTTCAACTGATCTGCAACTTCTCCTCCAGGATGCCGGAGAGTAGAAGAAATTGGCAGGACACTGATACGAAGACATCAAGTATTGTTTTCCAAGATTTAGGTCTGAAGACTCTTGCCTCGTGCACTGCCTGTTGTGCTTCCAGACAAAATCCAAATGCGTTCCCTCTGTGGGCCTCATCCTGCARTCCTGACTGAGGGAAGGCTCTGCTCTGTAGGAGATCACTTGTTGAAGAAAGGACTCAAAGCAAATTTTACAGGTGTTTCCAAATTTCTCATGCTCTTAAGGAAAGCTCTGCTGGGAGGTGCTATTAGAGATGGGACTTTGTACCAAGACCAACGTAGAAACTTTGATGTGTTTTGCAACAAATGCTGATATTAATTTCCATGCCTGTGAGTAATTTAGCTGTGAATGTGAAACTACAAACAGAAATGTTTTGATAGCAAACAGAAATGCTGAAATTTAAAATGCAAAAGATACTTCTTGCTCACTGTTTAGAGAAACTAGATTGCAGACTGTAGAGATTAAATCTTGCTTTCTTATGAACAGAGTGTCCTTTCTCAAGTGACTCTGTGCTAGGACTTTGTAAGCATCTGGGCTTGTGGCACGTAGGCTGTAGGAGCCCAGAGGACTCTTAGTTGTAAGGCACCAAAGAACAATGCAAAATTGGGGGAAATTGGGGAAATTCTGCTGTTTTAAGTGGCACAAACCCCTCTGCAATAAGWTGAAGTTTATATATGTGCATGAGATATAGGTGATATCCTCAGCTAATGCAAATCCCTGTAGCCCAAACTGTGCCTGCTGCATCCACCTGGAGCTCCAAATTACATTTTTCACCTGGATTCATCTGCTAACAGTTCTAGGGAAGGCCGATGCTGCCTGGGAGAGTTTGTAGAATTTGCARCCATGTGCAGAAAAGAAACTTGAATAATTGAGGCATTAACCCGTGACTTGGGAAGAGTTTAGTTACTGGTTCTATGTAGTTTCCAGGCACACCCTTAAGTCAGATAAATCCTAATATTATTCACTGTGCTTATGGTGAGGATGTAGAGACACACAGGACTGTGCCTCTGTTCTCTAAACAATCTAAATATCCACAGAATTCAGGACAAATTTTGCAACTGTAAAGAACAAGGAAGGTACAACTTTACTGTTCTTATCTTGGGYAAAACTGAGTGTAGCTCTTCACTTGTCTCACTTTCCTTACAGTGTTACAGGGAGCAGGGAGAGGCCACACAGGTTTTGAATATTTTGCTGTGAAAATTAATGATCATTTTTAAAGAAGACTAAAAAAGAGAAAAATTCCTTAATTTCATGGTTTCACTGACATCACCAGCTCCACCATTTGTTTCCCATCAGCCTCTGAAGGACTCGTGCATTCTGACTCTCCCACTTTGTTAGGTTTGAAATATCCCTTACTGAGCATTAGAGGCAGCTTTGTAATGAAATGATGGAATATTATAATGTGAACTAAAGCTGGGGCTGGAACTCAAAATGGGGAGAAAACCCAAAAGGCCATATGCTTGCCCTCCAGTTGTAAAATTTGTACTCTTATTTACTGCCGAATGTGGTCTGTTGTGTGAGTTGCRTAGCAACAAAATAAAGTTTATCTGTGCAAGGAAATATGAATGTTTCTCAGAGCACAGAGGAGCATAATTTCTGCTGTTTACTGCACTTATCATATCTATTGCAATGTGGACTGTGTCAGATGTCAATTACAGACTAACTTTGGAAAGAMTGTTTATTTGAGATAATATAAATGTTACTTAAAAGATAGGGGCATAGTATCTTATGTTTACATGTTTAAGATCTATTTCTAAAGCTTAGAAGATGCAGTTTCCTGTCTTTGCCCCAACCAGATTCGAGGAAAGTTCTGAAACTCTGTGGTTCAGTAGAAGTTCTGATGGTGAGGAAACCAGTTTCATTACTTGTGCGTAATTCACTGTTTCTAGTTCTTCTGGGATAAGGGGCTTACATTGTTTTTTCCTGCTTGTTATCTAAGAATTGTCTGACTGCCTTCCAGTGCAAYCCCAGTAAGACTAGACATGCATTAAAAATTAAAATTAGAGCCAAATACTGAAGGGCTATGAGACTGTTAACAGGAAGTAAGTTCATTTGCCTGGTAGAATTCTGTTTTCAAAATATTCCTCAGTGAAGAGAATTTATTTTGATTTTGAGACAGCCAAACACAACTACCTTTGGAAATTATTTAAAAAAAAGTAGGAATTCTGTTTGGTTTGGGTTAAAAAGCAGAAAGACCGAGTGTTCTGAACCATTTTAAAAGATGAACAATGTCCAGGCTAAGAAAAAAATCTATCCCCACACTTGCTTCACCTGGAGAAGCTGAGAAAAAAACCAGAGCACACAGAACAGGTGGTAGTAGATATTTCTGTGATTGGTGAGAGTGTTTCTGAGGAGAACATAAGTAATATAGCAAACAAAAAAAAATAGGTCTTTGTGAAATACATTAAGTAGAAAATTATTTGTCTTAAGTAACAAGTGAATCCAACAAATTCTTAGGAACAATTAGTCACAGTCCTTAGATCAAGGCATGGAAGTAGAGTGGAATAGAAATATTTTGCATTTATGATGTTTTAGTATATCTGTCTATCCAAATGTCAAATAACAAACATGGTGGGTTTAATGGTGAAATTATTTTCTGTCTTGACTGTGGCTCCATATTAAGCCACAGGTGCAAAGAAAAAAGGTCTACATAGAAAAAGTCTAATAAGGGGAGAACTGTGAGTGAAATTTCTGTACCCAGAAAGACAGCACTCAACTGGTGTTCTGAGTACTGAGAAAAAAAAACCCAACTGATCTGGGAGGCTGGTGAGCCATCTGAACRGGGCTCTCTAACCACCTCCTGAAATGGACCAGGAACATTCCCTGGAAAAAAAGATTGCAGCTCTTAATGAGAGAATATTTATCGGATGGGTTGTGAAGAGAGAAGAGACCAAAAGCAAAACSTGAGGGTATGAAAGAAGGGGAGGATCCTGTGCTTTTTAGGAGAAAGTGGTACTTCCCAAGAGGTTAAGATGTGAGGCAGGCTCTTACATACTGGTGTGTCATRTTCAGTCTATGTGTGGATTTCTCTGCTGCTGGCAGTTCAGAAATTTCCCTTTTTGGAAGCATCCCCACCATGTTGTCTCCTTAGACCCAGTGAGCTCATGGAGAATTAAACCCACTGAAGAGTGTGTGGAAGAGTGTGGCATTCTCTGCAGGATGTGTGGAGGTTTGGAGCGGCTTCAGCCCTGGTTTGGGATCTCAACAACTAGACTGAAGACATGCATTTTTAGCATATTTAGTCCTAAAGAAATCAATCTGTTTCAAAATGACAGGGTCAGTGAAATAGGCTGTGCTGTTTTCTGGACAGCTGATAGATYACATCAGGGCTGGACATGCAGGGAGTTGGGACTGGACTCCTGGACAAGCTGCTGGACATGCAGCTTTTTTCTCCTAAGAAAAAAAAACAACATCCTCCTAGAAAAGTACACCTTGAGCAGGTTTGGCTGTGCTGAGAACATTGTTGCCATGAGAGTCTGGCCATTTAATTTAGCAGAGCAGAGCACAGCAGTGCAGGACTCCAGGCTCAGCAGATGGCAGGAGTCAGCCGAGGGTTGTGAGAACATCTGACCTTTCAGATCAAATGTGGAGGAGGAGGAGGTTACTGTAGCTTCAGGACAGATTTTCCTCTCACTTGCCTGTCAGTCCTTTGAAGCAGAGACCTGCTGCTTTTCGAATGCCTGGAGCCTGCATGCTGGGTGGAGAATCCAGTAAGTAAATAATAGGAGTCATAATTCAGAGCACTGAAGCTGAGGAGCTGTGAAAGACATGATCTGTTTTCTTGTGACCTCCACCTCTCRCTGTGACTCTGGGACACGTTATTGTGTTTTATTTTCTCTAGTGGCCAAGTCAAACAAATAGCTCTTGAACTGGTAAGAACTCCACCTCCATTCCCAATTTTTCAGGTTAAGCATGAAACTTGTCTGTCTTACTGGGAATTTCTGAACATAAATAAACAGACACTTAGAGTAACTCGCCTTGATAAATGGGCAGTGTAGGTCGGGGCCTGCTGGATATGCAGGCGACTCAAAGATGAAGCAAAGCTGGGGAAGTAGGCAGGAATGGCTCTGCTTTTCTTGGCTTCTCAAATGGTTTTCAGGCTGAAATCAAATACTTGAGTGCATGAGGAAAGCTGGCTTCTGAAGTCATGATTTTGCACTGAACCTCACTGTAAGGATATCTCTTATAAAGCTACTTTTGATGTGGAAATTTGGCTCCAAACCACACTGAAGGCCATTATAAATAACCACTTCATCACAGGACACACAGAAGTTGGCTTCCTTGAACGCTCCTAGAAAGCAAGCCTAACCTTATTGAGCCATAACCTCAGCGAGTGTAAATCAGAGAAGCTCCATTGACTTCATTAGTTTATACTGATTTACACCAGCTGTGACTGCGGCCCACAATACAGCAAGATATGTCAGCTTTTAAATTCTGTCACTGGGTGTTGAACAAAATTGTTTTTAAAACAAGACTGGCAATCCCAGATTTAGATCCTAATGAGACRCAGCACTGTAATTGTTTCATGATGCTTATATGCTCCATTTTGTTTTCATTTTTGCATTGCTTCTGTTTTTCTTATCTCCTGCCAAACAGAGGAAGAGTACCACATATGTTACATTCATAACAAAGATGTTTTGCTGCATCAATAACATGTCCTCCAGATGCAAAATGCCTTTGTGTTGTAGCTCAGCTTCTTCYTTTGCATAGGTACATTGGTTATGTGCCAACATAAGAACACCCTTGAGGGCCAGCCCTGTGTTTCTCCAGGGCCTGGAGCTCTGGAAGGGGCACACAGAGGCTGTCCCGGGAGAACTTCAGAGATCTGATTCCCCCTTARAGATTTCCATCTCCTAAGTGATGCCTTCAGATGGGCAGGATGAATTGTGTCTGAGAACACCCTGATAGGAATGCCCCGAGACCATCAGTGCATCTCCTCTGTCACAATCCTGCAGGGTGCTCAGGTGATTAACCAGAGTCATCAGTTGGCACCTTTGTGGTGTGGAAGGCTGGGAGGTGCATACAGATGGCTTATTCAGCCAAGGGGAAGACATTCATATAACTAGCCTGACAGTGATTAATATTGGTTATTATTTTATGACAGCAGCAGCTGTAAGTTCCAGTCAAGGTTAAGGCAGCTCTGTGCACTGCAGAGATGTTTTTCTGCAGGCAGCAGTCTATACTCAACAGAGTCAGAAGGATAAATTGTCAGGCAAAGGAAGAGAAAGTCTTTCTCTCTCTCTCAAATGGGGGCAGAAACAGATTCCTCCAGCTTCCTCCTTCCCTTTYGCTACCTTAATTTGCTTTTCTCCCTAAGGCACATAACTCTGGGGGGTACAACACACACCACAAATACTCAGCAAGCGTGGGGAAAATCCACAAATGAACAGAGCAGAGGTAGAGCTGGAGCACAGCACAGCCTTTAACCTGTGTATTTTTCCTTGCAGAAGCTCCTTATACAACTGAGATGCTGCCAGATTGCCAAGCAAAATCTGATTGTGATGGCTGTGCAGTATGGGAATGGAACACCTATTTCTTGCTGGTTTTCTATMATTTGATAGCATAACATGATTCTAGTTCACTTTTCCCACACACTTTTAGTAGTATTCTAACCCCTTTAGCCCTGTACACTGTGTTTAACCAGGCTTTCCTTTTAAGAGACCTGAAAGTAATGGATTTKAAATGCTTAGTTGTCATGAAAAAAGGTTCCTACAGACCAGGTATTCACTGCTAGGTTTATTTCATGTGAGACAAGTCTAATTCTCAAGAACACTCACCAAGATTTCAAAGAAAGGTGTGAAGGACCTACAATAAATGGAGCCGGCATGGAGCTGAAGGACCATGGCATAAATGGAGCTGTTACTCAAATTCAGGAAATGTATTGTACACATTTCCACTTGGTATGGGCAGCAAATTAGTTTAGCATGTACTGTTATTGGACCCAGAAACCTAAGCATGGATGTGAGATAAACAGTCTTGCTAATAGGTGAGACCTGAATGCAGATCAGAGATGGAAATTCAAGCAGCAGGATCATCTCCTGTATCTAATCTTTCTCTGTGTCTGTACACATGCTTTATCAAAGATAGAGGCTGAAGAGTGTAGGTAGGGGTCTCTATTATCATTTTAATACAAATTGTCACTGACTTAGGAGTTACACATCTGCAGCCTTCTCATTAGGCAGTTAAGAGCAGCAGAAATTACTAAATTTGGTAGAAACATATTCCCTTTGACAAGCTTATGTCTCTACCCAGGAACCTGGAAAAACTAAAGTGCCCTTCATACWAGAAATTCCATTGGCAAGCTCTTTGAAAGAATTACAAACAGAAATTTATAGTAGGGAAAGGTAACTTGTGCTTTCCTAAGACTGTGACCAACAGAATATATGTGCAAGTAAAGAGAAAGAGTTGGCACTAATCCACCTCGTTTCCTTACTGCCTACTGGTGAGTTTGCTCCACAGCTCCTAATTCATGGCTGCAGGMCTGGGGGTGGCAGCACCCATCTCCTCTTTGTTCTGGCATTGCATTTCATTGTATCCTCCATATTTACTGCCATGTCCATACCAGCCTTTGCTGTGACAAAGGGTCTGGTCTCACGGGGAACCTGGAATGAGAGAGATGCCTGGAACCTCCGGGCAAGGTCYTGGCCCTTTGGGAACTGTTGGAAATGAAGTGTGGACAGACGTGGCTGTTGCTGAGGGGCTTTTGGTGAGAAGGTAAGAGCTCATTTTAATTTTTCAAGAGCCCCTTACCCAGAATTAAAGTTGAAGTTTTGCCAGYTRGAACRAGGGAGCTMCATAGGTGGGACTTGGGTGGCCTGYAGTGCTTCAGCAACACTTTATRTCRGTAAAGTAAGCACCAAGTCTCATGGTAGAGGAGCTCAGTCCCATACACCATCTACAGCCATGGTACAGAATCTAGAAAGGAGAATGGCAAAGACCTTCAAGTGAACCTAYAGGCTCAGCTGTCCCTGTCTTCCCACGGGCCACCAAAGTCTTCATAGGCCTCACTGAAAGTTTTGTKTATCACATCAAGTTCACAATATTTGATTAGTGGGACTTGCAGCTGTCATGTGARGTGCTTGATGGTTGCTTTTATCAGGAATTTTGGAGGAAAGTAGCAAGTTCTGCGGCGAGGCCGTGGTGACTGTTCTTAGTTCAGCAAGGCCTGTGCAGTTACCTTCTAAATGCTGCAGGTATTTCCCAGACAAACTTGCACTGTTACAGAGTTGGTGCTGAATCAGATTGCCTTGGGTTAAAAGGCATCTTAAATCTCATCTAGTTCCAACCCTGATGCAATGGGCAGGGACACTTTCCATTAGACAAGGCTGCTCAGAGCTCTACTCAACCCATCTTTTGTGAATGGAAAGATGAACAGCCCCAGTTCAGGACATGCACACTTTAATGTAAAAATAAGCCAAATATCTTATGATCTTTGTACATCACTCTGTTTGTTATTTACAACACAATTTATAAATAAATTGAGTCTCCCAAGCTTGCTTTTTGTGTGCCCTCTGCTAACCTGGAAGACTGCCACAGCTGCAGAGCAGGCCTAAGAGACATCTCTGACAGTTCTAGCTCCAGCTTGTGTTCTAGTAATTCAGTGGTGCCAGAGACAYTCAGAACACCTTCTGGCATCATTGACAGTCCTTCTCCTGGTAGTGTAGGGATAGTCACTTGCAAATAGTTATGTGTAGGTTTGTAACTTCTGCATAACAGACAACAAAACCACACCCAACTGACATAATTCACTGGCATGCTAATGAACCTCAATCCAGACAGCTCAACCATCTGTGTGCTCTGCTTTTWATCAGTTTCAAGTGTGTTGGGTCTGGGTGTACGTGTCCCCTCTGCAAGCATAAAACCATACTTTTGATCTATCGCAGAAAAGCCTTTTTACCATAAAGATAAAAAGATTTTAAAAATGATTCCTTTTGATTCTCAATCCTTTTTCCATTATTGTTCTGATATGGATGGGAGCATATTGTGAAGTTATTATASAGGATGTAGAGTGTACCCAAAGAACAAGGAACTGTAGAGCACATCCAGCCCCTGAGCTCATTTATTAATTTGTGCTCCTGTTTACTGATGTGTTTGGAAAACTTCAGTACTATGTGACAAGCAAAGATATTGGCTACAACATGAAGCATGTCTCAGCCATTGTGGATGCTGCCATGATTTCTAGAGCTGTCATTGCAGCACAATCATTCCAGTCTGAATTTTTGCCCTAGATAATTTAACTTGGAGGATTTTGATTGCCTCTGAGAAGCTTTTTAGTTATTAATATAGGAAAATTAATGTCTATTACTATGAACAATTACATATGGAAATGCAGGAGAGAGCAT